AAGCCTTTTACAATCACAGAATCACAGAATTGTAGAGTTTGAGGGGAACCCAACGGTCATCTAGTCCAACCCACTGCATTGCAGGAAATCTCAACTAAAGCATCCAAGGCAGGTGGCCATCCAGCATCTGCTTAAAAAACTCCAAGGAAGTCCATTCCGCTGTTGAACAGCTTTTACTGCCAGAAATTCTTCCATTGGTTTGGATCCTAGTGTCTGTAGCAGGAGAAAACAAGCTTGTTTTCTGATCTGGCCACAGTGATCCATGCGATGGTCACCTCCAGGCTTGATTATTGTAACTCGCTCTACGCGGGGCTGCCCTTGAAGCTGACCCAGAAACTCCAGCGGGTGCAGAATGCCGCAGCGAGGCTCCTTACGGGGTCCTTGCCGCGGGATCACATTCATCCAGTGCTTTACCAACTGCACTGGCTCCCGGTGGAGTACAGGGTCAGGTTTAAGGTGCTGGTTTTGACCTTTAAAGCCCTATGTGGCTAGGGCCCATGTACCTATGGGACCACCTCTCCTGGTATTCCCCGCAGAGGACCTTAAGGTCCACAAATGACAACATTTTGGAGGTCCCAGATCGCAAGGTGGTTAGATTGGTCTCAACTAGGGCCAGGGCCTTTTCAGTTCTGGCCCCGGCTTGGTGGAACACTCTATCACAAGAGACTAGGGCCCTGTGGGACTTGACATCTTTCCACAGGACCTGCAAGACAGAGCTGTTCCACCTGGCCTTTGGTTTGGACCCAGTCTGACCCTTATGTTTCCCTCCCCTTATTGTCTTGATTTATCGGCTACTTTTAAAATGAGGCTGCATTTTAAATTGTATTTTAACCTGTATTTTAAATTGGTTTCCCCCCTCCCATTATGTTTTTACTGTGATTTTATTGGTGTTAGCTGCCCTGAGCCCGGCTCTCACCAGGGAGGGCGGGGTATAAATAAAAATCATTATTATTATTATTATTATTATTATTATTATTATTACTATCATCATCATCATTATTTCCTCTCCCATGAGACAGCCCTTGAGATATCTGAAGATGGCTATCATATCTCCCCAGTCTCCACTTTTCCAGGCTAAACATAACCAACTCTGGCTTGGTTTCCAGACATTGATCATCTTGGTTGCCCTCCTTTGCGCACGTTCCAGCTTGTCAAAATCCTCCTTAAATTGTGGCGCCCAGAACTGGACACAGTATTTCAAGTGGGGTCTCACCTAGGGAGAATAGAGTGGTACTATTACTTCCCTTGATCTGGAATTATACTTCTGTTGATGCAGCCTATAATCGCATTTGATTTCCCCCCCTGCTGTATCACAATGTTGACCGCACTGCTTGTGGTCTATTAAGACCCCCAAATCTTCTGAAGGCTTGCACCTGTGCTCATTGAGAAATTTGCCTTTATCACCTCCTCCCAAGGCTGGCCTGCTCATGAGTTGGACTGATGCAGCCACCTCGGGCAGCAGGAAGCTTCTCACCAGAAGCCACTGCTATGCAGCCCTAGTAAGTGAGACTCCCTGTCTCCTCTTAATGTAGGGGTGGGGAACCTCAGGCCACTAGGCCTCACCATTTGGCCTGCCCACCTGCTCTATAGGTAAAGGTAAAGGGACCCCTGACCATTAGGTCCAGTCGTGACCGACTCTGGGGTTGCGGCGCTCATCTTGCTTTATTGGCCGAGGGAGCCGGCATACAGCTTCTGGGTCATGCGGCCAGCATGACTAAGCTGCTTCTGGCGAACCAGAGCAGCGCACGAAAACGCCGTTTACCTTCCCGCCAGAGCAGTACCTATTTATCTAATTGCACTTTGATGTGCTTTCGAACTGCTAGGTTGGCAGGAGCAGGGACCGAGCAACAGGAGCTCACTCCGTCACAGGGATTCGAACTGCCGACCTTCTGATCAGCAAGTCTAGGCTCTGTGGTTTAACCAACAGCGCCACCTGCGTCCCTTACCTGCCCTATACCTTATGTCAAAATGGTAAAGGCAAAACGGAGCTGAAAGTGCGGTTGCAAATCCCTGTCCACAGGGCTTATCAAGAGTCAACAATCGGCTGATAGTTGGGGCTTCCATGTACATGCTATGCAAAAATGGATCCCCTGCCATCATTGTGACACCAGGTGATTGACAGGAGAGTGGCCCTGCCCACCTGTCAAATGTGACCTGCGGGGGTGGGACCCAGATCCACCAATCAGATCCAGCTCCTTATGCCACCCTAGGAGTAGTGGCAAAGCCGCCTATCTCTAGAAGAACCTTGCATTTAGAACTCATCATTCTCACAATTGTCCTCACGAATAATGAAGAAGGCAGATAAAGGCAACGTTCATGAGTCTCCAGCTCCCGCCCTTTCTGTTTTCACAAAAACCCTCCGCCCATTTTATTTGCACAACAACCCTGTGAGGTAGGTTAGGCTGAGAGTGAGTGGCTGGGCCACGCTCAAAAAAAGAAGGCATCCAAGCATGGAATTTTTGCCCTGGGGTGCCTCAGGGCACTATTTTGTCCCCTGTGCCATTTAGCAGCTGTATGTGGGGGATCTGGAGCAAAATGTCCTCTTCATGCCGATGGCACTCAGCTCTTCTTCTCCATAGTATCTGAAGCAGGTGTGGTCATGCACACCCTGTATGAAGTGGATGAAGGGCCTATAAACTGAGTTTAAATCCTTTGTTGTTGCTGTTTAGTCATTCAGTCGTGTCTGACTCTTTGTGACCCCATGGACCACAGCACGCCAGGCACTCCTGTCTTCCACTGCCTCTCGCAGTTTGGTCAAACTCATGCTGGTAGCTTCGAGAACACTGTCCAACCATCTCGTCCTCTGTCGTCCCCTTCTCCTTGTACGCTCCATCTTTCCCAGCATCAGGGTCCTTTCCAGGGAGTCTTCTCTTCTCATGAGGTGGCCAAAATATTGGAGCCTCAGCTTCACGATCTGTCCTTCCAGTGAGCACTCAGGGCTGATTTCCTTAAGAATGGGTAGGTTTGATCTTCTTGCAGTTCATGGGACTCTCAAGAGTCTCCTCCAGACCATCATTCAAAAGCATCAATTCTTTGGCGATCAGCCTTCTTTATGGTCCAGCTCTCACTTCCATACATCACTACTGAGAAAACCATAGCTTTAACTGATCACTGCCTTGCCGTGGCAAAGGGGCTTGAATAACTCAGAGAAGCTGTGAGCTATGAAGTGCAGTTTAAATCCTGGAAAGGCATAGTCCCTGTGGGTATCTGGAAGATAGATCACCTTACCTGTTTTGGATAGGGTTGCACTCCTTCTAAAGAAACAGGTGCATAGTCCGGGGTGCTCTTTGATCCATCATTATTGTTGGAGGCCCTGGTGAGCTCAGTGATCAGGCGTGCCTGCTACAAGCTTCAGCTAAAGCAGTTCCTGGACTAGGATAACCTGGCCACCAATGTTTCAGCCATTGGTAACTCCAATATACGATTTCTGCAATGTTCTCCCTGCTCTTAATGTTGGCCCGGAAGCTGCAGTTGGCACAGGATGATGCAGCTAAGCTGTTGACTGGAGGAGCCTAACAACTTTGCTTGGCACAACCAGGGAAGGAGCTGCAGTCCACCTTTCCAGTGTGGTGTAGTGGTTAAGAGCAGTGGACTCGTAATCTGGTGAACCGGGTTCGATTCCCCACTCCTCCACATGCAGCTGCTGGGTGACCTTGGGCTAGTCACACTTCTCTGAAGTCTCTCAGCCCCACTCACCTCACAGAATGTTTGTTGTGGGGGAGGAAAGGAAAGGAGAATGTTAGCCGCTTTGAGACTCCTTTGGGTAGTGATAAAGCGAGATATCAAATCCAAACTCTTCTTCTTCTTCTTCTTTCCACTGGTGGTAAGAGCCCCATTGTCTCCACTATGGCGCATTACCTAAGGACCACAGCCAGTGCAGCTGCTGATGAGCTGGCTTAACAACGGGCATTGTGTGTATTTTATGTGTATCTTAATGTGAGGAAGATCACAAGTCATGGGGCCATGGAGAACGTTTGTATGAACTTAACAGTGCTTAGCTTAGGTTTTTTTAGCTGCTCTTCTGTTAATGCTGTTAGTATTATTTTAGATTATAAACGCCATATTGATATGCTAACCATATAATATGGATTTTGCTGTAATGGTGATGTTCAGCTTATTTTTCAGCAGCTGTTTTGTTAATAGCGTTTAGCTGTGTTTATTTTTTGTTGTTGTTTTGTTAATAATGTCATATAAATGGTTTCATTTTAAATTGCAATTGTTTCATTCATTATTTGTTCATTATTTCATACAATTCACGCTGCATCTGCAAGGGCACAAGGAGAAGGGGACGACAGAGGACGAGATGGTTGGATAGTGTTCTCGAAGCTGCCAGCATGAGTTTGACCAAACTGCGGGAGGGTTTTGCGCGAAAAGTGGTTGCTGCTTGTAGTTATTTAATTGCAGTGTTTCATCAGCTGGTGTCTTGAGCAGCAACCTCTGGAAACGAAGGGCTAAAAACCGGCGCTGCTCTCCCAAATTATCTGGTCCCTTTTAACTTGTATTTCAGCTGGTTAACTAAAATCCCTTATTTTGGCTGCTGATCCCTTATTTTCGAGGCTGCTGGTCCCTTATTTTCAAATCTGTAAGTTGACAGCTATGCTTTGGGATTCATTTGCACGAAAAACGGCACAGGAATACAATAAACCAAACCAAACCCAGCGAGACATCTGCAGGGCCGCCGGCTTCCCCCCTCCCGCCCCTGCTTCAACAAGGATAAGAAAGAGAAAAACCCCACGATCCTCCATGAGGACTAGCCTCGTCCCCTCGCCCTGCCCAATAATAAACGCGGCTCCCGAAACCCGGCGCGCTTTAGGACCCGGCCGGCTCCGTTCGGCAAGAGGGAGGAAGAGGCGGCGCCGAGGGAGAAAGAAAAACGCTTTTGCGGCCGGGCGGAAGGAGGCGACGGGGCGGTGCCAGGCAGACAATGGGGAAGGGCGGCAGCCAATGGGCTGGTCGGCGGGGGCCGCCTCGAGTATTTGCATAGCGGCGCGCCGCGGCCAATGGCCTTGCGAGCCGCCTGGGCGAGCGCCCTCTCGCTGGGCAGCGCGGAGAAGAGGGCTCCACCCGGCCGGGCTTGGGGCGGCCGCGACGGCTGCCCGGGCGGCCGCTGGTGGCAGCAGCAGCAGCAGCAGGCGGAGAGAATGGCTGCGGCTGCGTGCGGCTCGTCCGCGGACCGGGAGCCCCCGGAGCCTCCTCCTCCGCCGCCCGGGGAGCCCGCGCCGCCTCCGCCGGCGAGGAAGCGCGGCGGGGATTCTCGCCGGCGGCAGGCCGCCCTCTTCTTCCTCAACAACATCTCCCTGGACGGGCGGCCGCCGTGCCTGGCCCCGGGCAAGACGCCGCTGCAGTCTCCGCAGCAGCAGCAGCAGCCGCCTCCGCCGCGCCCGCCGCCCTCGTCCGCCGCCGCGGCCCCCGGGGAGCGGCCCGACGACGATGCTTTGCCCGCCTCCAGGCTCCTGCTCGCCACCCCACCGGGGCTGCTGCTTCCCGCCGCCGCCGCCGCCGCCGAGCTGGACCCTTCCCGCGGGCTGGGCGCCGCCGCCGCCGCCCTCCTGCCCCAGCTGCTGCTGGGCAGCCCGCTCTGCCCCGTGGTGCCCGCCCCGGCCGTCGCAGCCGCGGGGGTCTTGGCGAAGCCGGGCGTCGCCCCCGCGGGGCTCCTGAGCCCCACCCAGAGCATCGCCGCCGCCGCCGCCGGAGGAGGGTTCCCCTTGGAAGTGCAGAGGCAAAGGTGAGCAGGGCCCTGGGGGCGGGGGGGGGGGGAGGTGTGTCTCGGATGCCTGGGTCCTTTTTGGAAAAAGCGGGGTGGGCGGGGGAGTTCGGGCAGGTGCCTGCGTTTGACCGGTTTCCGGATCTAAATGCACATATATACATATACATGTGTCTTATCTTCAGTCTTCTTGCGCTGCGCAAACGCTTTCCCTCTTTACGTCGGGTTTGGTCTCCGAAGGCAATCGGTTCCTCTTACACCTACTCAGAGTCGCTCCTTTCTTCCTTGTTCCCCACGCCCACCTGTCCGTTTTATTGGATTACTGGGCAGATATAATCGGTCGCTTGCAGGCTGGAGATCCTGCCGTCGGTATGTGTTTTGTTTTGTTTTATAGCTAGCTAAAGGCTGCCCCAGCGGCGTCATTTGTAAACGCTGCAATAAACAAACGCGCACGAAGGGGTTAAAAAGGCCCACCTGCTTTTATATGGTTGACTTTTTCTTTATGGAAGAAGAGCCGCCCTAAGACTACAGCCATAACTTACCTGGCCGGACTTTTTCTATTTATTTTTTTTAGTCCATGTAGCTCAATATTGTCTACACTGGCTGGCAGCAGCTCTCCAGCGTTTCATGCAGGGTTCACGCGCAGCCGAATCCCTCCCGGCTCCAAGGACTGAACGTGAGACAAAACAGATCTTCTATCACTGAGCTAGGGCCCTTTTCCAGTGCAGGCTTCAGTGTGGAGTATTTGTGAGTAAATATCCAAACAGCTGCACTGTAAACGGTGCTTACTCTAAAGCAAGTCTGTGCAGGATTGCAGACCTGCTCCAACAAGTCTCTTTATCTGAAGTGTATAAAGGATGAGAGAGTCTTCCTGGCATCTTTACTTTTGGTGTGGATTCTTCTCTTTCCTTTCCCTGCCCCCCCCCCCCCCAGCACTTGGTCTTAGATGCTAATAAGGTATCTAATAGGCTAATAGGGTTTATGAGGCTTATCTGGGGATGGGGTTGCTGCTATTGTTGATGTTATTTTATTCTATCATTATTTTGGTTCTTGGGAATTATGTGGACATTGTTCAATTTGGCTGTGTGCTTTCTGATGTCTTATTTAATGTTTATGACTAGTATTATTACGCTTGTGACTTTTAAAAATATGTTGTTTTAATATGCCGCCTTGAGAAAGGTTTTAACTTTGACAAATAAAGTGATTGATGATAAACTTACATGTCTATGTCTTACAACATTTTAATGTCCTATTAACGTAAGCCCATCTTTTCTTTTAATTTCTTGCTGGGAAATTAATGTTTTGCTGGGAGCTAAGCTTCTGCTTCCCCCAAACCCTAGGGAATATCTCCCGCTCTGCTTATGGGCCTCACTGCCCTACGGAGAGGTTTGGTGATGAGTCCAAATTAACACCCTACTTCTTTCCCTTTCATATTATGAGAGTCTAAGTAACTTCTCCTGGGAGTCATAACTCGACTGTGCTTTGAGGATGCTCTTGAGAATTCCACTAGTGGAATTCAGGTTCTGCTTTGACCTTATGGGACTTAGCAAAAGGTGGCATGAGCTGTGCCTTTGTTTTGCTAGGTCTATGGGGGATACTATTTAATTTGCTGCTCAAAAAAAATCAGCTGCTCAAGAGTCCTTAAAATTATTGTGCATATGTTGAGAGAAAAAGCAGATTTTACCAAAGGGCATGTAGGGTTGTGCTTGTGTGTTGAAGGAATGGTGCACAGTGGTGACCCAAGCCCTGTGTCGTGCTTAGAGAAGAGTCAAGTGGTTTTAGCTCTGTTGAGTTTATGATAATGTCCCATTCGAAGATTCGGGAGTAGTCTTCCCTCAGCCCATCCTTCCAGAAGCCCAACTTTCTTCTGGACCCGTCTCCCACCTCGGATTTTCCCTGTGTGTTGTCTTGCCACACAGAAACGACATTACAGAGGGGGGTACCTTACAACACTACAATTCTATGATTCCCAAACCGACAGTCGTTCATGGCTGCCTGCAAGAGCCGCTGAAGTCTCTTAGACAACAGTAAATAAATTTAGCAGCAGCATCTCTGTAGGAAGAAACATATTAAGAGAGTAAATAAAGATAGGGTACTGATCCTCTTGTAGTATATTATATGCCACTTTTTTGACCCGAAGTCCACACACACACACACACACCCCTGAAAGGAGTGAATAGCCTATTAAAAACCATAAAATATATACTAGGAGGTGCAATAGAATGGCATACATCCATCAGCTGGCAAAACAATACAAGGCAGCGATATCCTAACATAAGTGGTCCGATGGATTAAAGGATGCTCCCTCCAACCAGATATCTACCTCTTAGGGGCTAGAAACCTGAGCAGGCGATAAGAAATGCTATGTTTTGTTTTACAGCAAGCTTCGCACAACTAAGGAGCCTCTCATCACACACATATAAGCCATTTCAACTTTTCATGGCAAACAAGTGAAAATGTCAAAGAACACCCCACCCCAAAATCCCCTAACAACTAGGAATAATTACAGTATTAATAAATGTTGAGCAATAGCAAAAGGCCATTAGAGTCGGAGTGTTCCATTTACAACAGAAATCTTTTGCTTTTAGTGTTTATTACTACATGAAGCTTTTTGGCTACAGCCTTGGAGAATGAGTGGCCCAAAGGGGTTATTGAGATGCAGTTGCCCTGAGCGACTTGGGACACAGGATGCAAATGGGATGCGATAAATTCAAGCCAGTCTTTGCTTTCCCCTTCCTCCAAAGTCTGCCCATGTCAATATAGGAAGGCAAGGCAAGAGAGGCTTATTAAAAGGCTAACTATTATTATTTTGTCATGGCCCGCACACTACCAGACATTCCATATAATCAAGAACATAAATAAATATATGCATGTTGCGGTGTCATCTGATAACAATGGGACCCTTAGATTCCGGTCCACTGTGTGCTTCACAATGGTGCGTGAATACAACTCTCATTCAGGTGTTGGCAATCCCTGAAACTCTTGTCTAGGGTGCTGCAGTGTGGTGTAGTGGTTAAGAGCGGTAGTCTCCTAATCTGGGGAACCGGGTTCGCATCTCCGTTCCTCCACATGCAGCTGCTGGGTGACCTTGGGCCAGTCACACTTCTTTGAAGTCTCTCAGCCCCACTCACCTCACAGAGTGTTTGTTGTGGGGGAGGAAGGGAAAGGAGAATGTTAGCCGCTTTGAGACTCCTTAAAGGGAGTGAAAGGCGGGATATCAAATCCAAACTCCTCCTCTTCTTCTTCTTCTGCATGCCACATTTAATTCGCATGACATTGACTCTCCTAGAGTACCTGGAGATTGTGTCTGTGACCTGTATGCAGGGTCCAGGAGGAAGCAGGAAGCAAATGCGTCGAGCTGGTCAGAATAGTGGCGTTTTGATTACCCAGTGTTCAGGAGCTTAAGTCCATCACGCTTGCTGAGTGTGGCCTGGTATGGTGCTCCATGAATCAGGGGTGGGGATGATCTGTCTCCCAGTTGTTGTGGAATTCCTGTCATCCGTGACCATTGGCCATGTAGGATGAAGTCGATGGAGTCAAGAGACCTTCAAGGAGAACCATAGATGGCTTTCCACCAAGTTTCTGAGAGTACCTGCATTTGAGTCTTCTAAAGACCCTCACTTTTGTCATGAATATGTTTTTCTCTAGGTTGACTGTTAACTGCTTTTAACACATTAATAACTTACACGTTTTACTCATCGGTTGACCAGTTAGGGTTGGGAGAAGGGGTTGTTATGTGTGGTTTAATCCACCAAATGGCAGCCCTGGGAGAGCAGAGCAAACTTCTCTTATTGTGCTCTTCTAACCTGGGCACAATGCGTTCCCGGTAGGCCTGTAAATTCCTTGATCTGGCCTGTAAATTACCCTGCCCAGACAAAAACTATTTCCCTCGTATGTTTGTGTTGCTTCACTGCCCTGTCTTTGTTTGTTTGCCCTGGCTCTTCGGTTATAATAGGCTTGTTGTGTGCTGTCGAGCTTTGAGGGTGAGCCTCCGGAGAAGAGGAACGCCAAGTGTTTTGCAGGGAAGAATTAAGAATTGCTGCTTTTAATGAAAGTCAGGCTGTCGGGTTCAGAAATTTCCAGCCTGAGCCTGTGGCATCCCAGAGCTCGTGTTTACCAAAAGCATAATTATTCCTGTTCTGCTTGCAAAACTGATGTTGCTGACTAACCTCTCTGCTAGCACCTCAGTTGATTTTATTTTATTTTTAAGCAAGAATCATTACATGCTAGTGCATCTGGGATGTGCATGCCAGTGCATAATTTAGTACTACTGTATAGATGTGCAATAATTGAGAGAGCTGTAGCTCAGTTAGTAGGGAATGTGTTGTACATGTGTGGGGTCTGTTCCATTTAAGATCTTGGGATGCAAAACTGTTGGGGGTGGGTTGGATCCTGTGATCCTATCTCTGTTCCCACAATCCAGCCTGCATGTTCAATCAATACCTGGAGAGGAGGGGCACCTTAGCCATGCTCCCCTTCCCTGGATCTATGTTCAACTTCAGGTCATGCCCCCCTGACCTCCAATCTTTGGGTAGACTGTAGCAAAGGGTTCTGTGCACATAAAATCTTTGTCTACCATTAGGAACTCTGTAACCAGTTGTGCTTCCATGCTGTCCAGAATGCAGAGGCTGGGCACAAGGGAAGTGAGAAAGGTCAGAACTCGGTGGTGCAGCACATTCTTTGTGTGCAAAAGATCCCGGGTCCAATCACCGACATCTACAGAAAGGGCTGGAAAAAGGCTCCACTCTGAACCCCAGGAAAGCTGCTAACAGTCAGATCCGACAGTACTGAGCTAGGTGGGTCAGTGGTGTGGCTTGGTATAAGGGAGCTTCCTACATACCATCGGTTGAGATTCTGCTCCCTACTATGCCAGGGTGTGAGAAAATGGCTCCAAAGAAGCTGGGTTTGGGCTAACATGGAGAGCGTACTGGATTTTTCAACTTTCAGCTTCCAAAAATAAGGGGTGGTAAAAGGTTGTAGCATGACTTGGGAATTCAAAAGATATTTTTGTTAAATTAATACAATTTAGTTTTGCTTGGTAAGTGAAATGTGTGTGAAATTGCATAGAAATAATTAAAAATGATTGCCAAGTACTGGCAGTTATATTGTATGTTACTATTATTGCTCGTTGTTATTATTATTATTATTATTATTATTATTATTATTAAGCATTACCTGACATTTTTAGAAAGTAAAATTAAAATGCTTTGGTTTTCCAAAAGCATTTCATGTGCTTCTCCATCAAAGAAAGACTTAGCGAGCCAAATGTTGTCCAATCACAAAAATAATAGCAGATTTGAATTTCTCAAACCCCAAAACATATTTATAAAACCCCTCACTGAAGAAATTTGGAAAAATTAAGTTGCACCCCTTAAAATGACACGCCCTTGGCTAACAGTGTGGCAGGGTTCGCAGCACATTGATACTGGTATTCCACAGTTGGAGGCAGCATGCACTTGTGGGATTTTCAAGTGGGGAGAGCTCAGTTGCACTCAAGTCTTGCTTGCATGCGTCCCATGGGCTTCTGGTGAGCCACTGTGAGAACCGGATTCTGGAGCAGATATTCGTTTGTCCTGTCACAGCAGCCCTCTTCTGATATTCTTCTATCCATAGATGGCACCTTCTTCTCTGAGCTGGCGTAAGCACTGCACAGTTGTGTGTGCGCGTACTGCAATTCTTGTTAGCACTAAGATGGAACAAAACAAGCTCTTGGGAAGCGGAATTCAGTTTCCTGAATACCAACCTTTTATTATTTTGCAAAGAGTAGGCTTCTCGCAGCTGCAGTGATATGCCTGTGAACTGTGTGGGCAATCGTTCTCTCAGAGCCCGGAGCGATGGCCAAATAAGATTTCCGGGGTTTGAGGAGGTGTAGCCAATGGCCTCCATCTTTCCCTTCACTTCTCTAGGGCAAGCAGAATAAATGATGCAATCAAAAACATTGAAATGAATCAGAGTTGCTTTGTGGAGTGAGAGGGGAGCACACACACCATCTAGCAAAAACACCCTTGCTCAAAGCAGGAAATTTGGATCCTGAGCATCCTCAACAGAGGCTATCCAGCCTCTGCTTCAAAATCCTTCGCTGCAGGTGAAGCCACCACCGCTCTAGCGACCTGGATCCATGGTTGAACAGCCCCTGCAGTTAAGAAGTTTCTCCTAGTGTTCATCCAAAATCCATTCTCCTGTTATATAAACCTGTTAGTTCTAGTACAATGACATGGCTTGTTTATCTGCCCCTTGCTTGGTCCAGCTATTGGTTGGTTTGTCTCATTGGAATTATTTGTCGTTGTGGCATTAGTAATTCCTTCTTCAGGAACAACCACGCATTGCAGTCTCCTTTCCCTGTTTATCTAGCCATTGAATCCTTCCTTGCATTACTTGAGGAAGGGTTCTATTTCATAGGTTGTACATAATATTGGACTGCCTGGGTAGGGAACACTTAAAGCGGGGTTGTTTTTAGCATTGAGTGCTAAAAATGCAACGGTGGTGGCGTTGCCTTAGACTTTTGGCATTGCAATTAGTTCATTGGTGCAAGGATGCACCCTTCTCCCCTCCCCTGCCCCTTTGGCCCCTTCGCAAAGCCTTTTGCTCTGTGACCTCTTCCTGCAGTCCTCTTGTGATCAGCGTTCAAAATTTGCCAGGTGCATTTTGCACTTGGCTATCGTTCACTTGTGACTAAGTGAAGATGCCCAGGCGCCAGGATACATGCCTGGGGATCCTTGGATCTTGCCTGCTTTCACACACTAACAACACATCCTGTTATATTTTATCTGCACAATCAGCACAAATTTCAGGAACCAAAAAGTTGTATTGAAAAATATGGCTTTCAAGCCCTCTGGCCTCCAATTGGCAATGACACATTCTGTTTTGGGGACTGTAACCCCGGTTTAAAGAGCCATTTGGCGCCTAGCTTATATATCTGAGCTTCTAACGCTGGTTGTGATTCCCTTTCAATCCTGGCATAAACAGGATTAAAGTTCCAGGCTTCCCGTTGTGACTGACGTATCAGTCGTCTGTCACTGAGAATGAGCCCAGAGTTTCTGGAGAGCAACCCTTTGGCTCAGCCCATATAAGCAAGCCAGGTGCTTTGGTGACCCCTCTTGCAGATCTAGAACAACCCTGTCCTAAAATATACAGGCTGCAGCAGCATCCAGGCTCTGCCTGCATCATATAAATCATAATTCAGCCTCTTCTTGCGCCAAGCCACATTCAAAAGGAGCTGTCACAGCATGGTTGCTGCGCAATGTCCTTGCCGTGACCCTTTGAACAAGCTTCTCTTTCTTGCCAGATCTCCTTCCAGTTTGCCAGATGCACGTAACTGGCAGAAAATGCAAGGCTGGAAGCTTGTCAGGTAAAGGCAGCAGGTGTGCCTCCTGTCTGTATTGTGAATTGTGCTTCCCTGGTGTTGCTTAAACAACCAGATGCAGCCCTTAAAGGCTCAGAACAGAGAGAACTGCCCTACAGGATCAGACTGTTCCTCCATTTAGTTTTGGGTTGTCTGTGCATCAATGGGCAACGACTCTTAAGATAATCCTTTCTCCATAACCTTATCCTCCTAGCTGCAGATTGAACCTGCATGCACAAAGCACAGACTCCACCACTGAGTCTTCTTCCTGACCCATCCCTTTGCTTTCATTAATGATATGCTGTAATCCAGCTACCCAGTGTCCTCCAGGTTAGCCCTAGGCAGCCTGGCACCGGGTAGGATAGAACACGGCCATTGTAGTAGTAACTGGTGGGTTTTAGCCTCTAGGGAAGGGACCAGTTTGGGACCGATTTTTTGCAAGCCCTTTCTTGGCTAAAGGACAGGGTATAAATGCTGTAAAAATAAAATTCGTAGTATGAGCCAGCTGGTGATTTGTAATAAACCAAACTAAACCTAGACAGCATCTTGCCAACAAAGGTCCGTATAGTTAAAGCTATGGTTTTCCCAGTAGTGATGTATGGAAGTGAGAGCTGGACCATAAAGAAGGCTGATCGCCAAAGAATTGATGCTTTTGAATTATGGTGCTGGAGGAGACTCTTGAGAGTCCCATAGACTGCAAGAAGATCAAACCTCTCCATTCTGAAGGAAATCAGCCCTGAGTGCTCACTGGAAGGACAGATCCTGAAACTGAGGCTCCAAGACTTTGGCCACCTCATGAGAAGAGAAGACTCCCTGGAAAAGACCCTGATGTTGGGAAAGATTGAGGGCACAAGGAGAAGGGGACGACAGAGGACGAGATGGTTGAATGGTGTTCTCGAGGCTACCAGCATGAGTTTGACCAAGCTGCGGGAGGCAGTGGAAGACAGGAGTGCCTGGCGTGCTCTGGTCCATGGGGTCACGAAGAGTCGGACACGACTAAATGACTAAACAACAACAACAACCCTCAGCTGAGATTTCTTCCAGAAACATTAATCAGGGGAGCAGGTAGCCTCTCTTATTGCCTTGCTTTCCTTAGTTTCTCCATCCTCTGGAAGCAATGGAAGGAGCAAAGTGGCATTGCTAGGTAAACATCCCGTAATATCATCCCTTTCTGGTGATAGGGAAGACAGAGAATCATATGAAGCTGCCTTTATATCAAGTCAGCCCACCTAGCTCAGTATAGCCTACACTGACTGCCAGCAGCTGCCCAGGGTTTCAGGAAAGCAGCCCATCCCTACCTGGCAATGCCAAGGATTGAACCCAGGTCCTTTGGTGTGGAAAGCAGATTCTGTACCACTGAGCCACAGCCCTGTCCCAGGGAAGGCTACAAGACCTCCTCTCCCATGCACAGTAAATATCACAGGAAGGAACATAGGCACAGGAAGTACATGAGGAACGTGGAATAACGCCTGCCCAGCCCCACTACCTGTGCTGTGATTGGGTCTTGGAAACCTTGTTGTCGCCCCTGTCCCTGAATTCCATGGTGCAGCAGACCATAATTCCAGCTGTGTGATCCAGGGGGATTGAAGTGTGGTGGTGAATTTGTGCCTCATTAATGAGCAGCTGACAGCAAAGCTTTTGCAATTGCAAAAGAGCCTGCTCTCCAGCTGAGGCTTAGAGGTGGTCTTGCCCTTCTGGGGCAAGCCATCTAAGTTTAGACTGAAAGGTCTTTGGGGCAGGTGAACTTTGCTGGCTTTGTGGTGCTGATGTGTATCCCTGGAAGTGCAAGCAAGATGCAGTGTGGGAAACTTCACATCATTTATATCTGTGCCCCTTTAGGGGGTGGAGAGAGGAGCTGGAGAATAGCTGCTCAGCATCAAATAAAGAAAAGAGCATTAAAACCTTGTCCCTGCAGGCTTCAAAATTAATGACTTGTAGGGCTGACATGATATTGACTCAGGCTGTTCTTACATAAGAGGTCAGGGTAGCTTTATTTAGTATGTGGTGTTTGACTCTCTCTTCTTCTTTTTTGGGTGTCTTTTGAGAGCAAATATTCGGAACTCAAATGGCATGTTGACATTTCAGGAGAATCAGTTACACAATTAGGAAAGGGTACAGCAAAGCCGTAATTAGGAATTGCACTTTTGAAACAGAATCTAAAAGCCGTTCTTCCAAAGGAGGGCAGATCAGTTGGCTTCAGCATTTCCTTGGCAGGAGTTTTCTTGGAGCACAATCGCAGCAGCGAGCGGAAAAGATAATAGTAGTATTTTTAGCCTTTTTGAGAGATGGGGTGCCTTTATCTGGTTAGAAAAAGCCAAACTACAAAGCAAAGGAAGAGAAAAGGGGCAGGTTGTAACTAGGACCAAGCATCTGTTCTAAATGCTAAAACATGGGGATGTGTGCAAGAAAACTCTTATTTAGTACTTATCTACCTTGTAAGCTCAGTGGGGCCGGGACTTGTATGCTGCTTTGTTACTCCACTAGTGGGCCTTGGTGCCCCAAATTTCAGCAGTGCTCTGTGCGACTCCAAAATCCGGCACACCAAACCACCTCTTGCCTTCCACTGGACATAATAGGTAATATATAGGTAATACATATTCCACTCTGTTTGGCCCAGTCATCAATCTGAAAGCCTTGTGCATTTTCCTGTTTTGTGGCCACCTCTGCACAGGCCCCTTTCTGGTTATCCATATGCAGTTATGCTGTCAATATCCCTCAGAAGAAAAATGTTTCATAGGAGAGGCAAAGTGAATGCCAAACACTGGATCTTTTCAAAGCCCTCGGGGTTTTTGCTTAGCCATTCTGACTTATTCCTTGCATGGGATGCTACTGGAAGTGTGCAGGTAGACGTGGGATGCTGCTGGGAGGGGGAAAGGTGGGGTTTTGTGTTAGGGGAGCAAGCGAGCGAGCTGTGTGGATCTAAGCAGAAACCAAAAGTGTTTGAGCCCCACCACATTGGGCGAATGTTTCCTGCATTGCAGGGGGTTGGGCTAGAATGCTGGACGGTCCTCACAGTCCCTTCCAACTCTTATGATTCTGCAGAGTTCAAAAGAGCCACTGGCCAGGTTGCACCTTGCAGAATGCATTGATAATCCAAGGCTTGTATATGTGGACTTTGTGCACACCATACATTTAAAGCGCATTGCTTCTCCCATGGGAACTGAGTTTGTTAAGGACACTGGGAATTGTAGCTCTGGGGGGAACCACAGTTCTCAGGCTCCTTTGGCAGAAGCCATGTGCTTGAAGCTCATGGCGTCTATGCAGGCTTCCCTGACACAGTTTTCCACGCTAATTGGGAAATGCCACCTGCCTTGATGGAAGGGCCCTGAGAGACAGACAGGGATGGGATGGTTGAGAGGCTGGGAGAAGAAAGAAAATCTCCAAGGTGAGAGATGGGACTCTGGGAGGGTCCCCCACTTTGTGAGACAAGAGCTACCTTTGAGAGCAGACTCTGCGTCGTCGTCCCCCCATCTGTTTTTGTTTTTACAGTCATACCTCGGGTTACGAATGCTGCGGGTTGTGCGTTTTCGGGTTGCGGACCACGCCGAACCCGGAAGTACCGGAACGGCTTACTTCCAGGTTTCGGCGCTTGCGCAGAAGCGCAAAATGACGTCATGTGCAGAAGCACCAAATCACGTCTTGCACAGACATGGCGCTTCAGGCTACGAACGCTGCGGGTTGCGAACGTGCCTCCCACACGGATCACGTTCGCAACCAGAGGTATGACTGTATTTAGATTAGTTCTTTTTATCTTGTTGTACCATGAAAAAGCTTTAATAATAAGGAAAAAAAGGTCACCTGCCTTAAGCCCTCCTGGCAACAAATGAAAACAGTGGGTTTGTCGCTGCACACCTTCCCATAGGCAGCACGCTTGCTGTGATTGCCAAATAAAAGAACCCCCGGTGTGCTCTACCTTTTCTTCTCCTCTCGCCACTCCTTTTTAAAATTAGCTTCCTTTTAGGTTTTGATCCCTCTGCTTTCTGCTCCTGCTTTTGGTCCCTTGGTTTTCTCAAAGGGAAAGGTGTGGAGCGCATTGCGGCAGGACTAGATTTAAAATGAATTTCTGCAACTGGTCCGGGGGGGAAAAAGAGGCCAGATTCTCTCTGTGGCATCCAAGATAGCTGAAGGGCTTTGAAAACTTGACAGGTTATGAAAGCTCGGAGAAATGTGAGGAAGGCAAAGACATCTGCCTGACTACGCAGCTTTTGATTATGTTCTTCTGAAGTCCCAATGCGGCCTTGAAGGGGGTGGAGGGAGAGAGACGCATCTGGGTAAGCAAATAGATCAGCAGCAGCAGATGTAAATGGCTCTATATTTCAGCTTCCTGCTAGAAAGACACTGCCACTTAGCATGTTTGAAAGGCCTTCACTGGTTTGGGGACCCTGGACCCGAAGACTAGGACCCTCTGTTCCTTAAGAATAGAAATTGGGCTGGGAGGACCCATTAGGACAGTTGGTGGGTGGAAGGCCGATCCCCATCTATTGGTAGTTCAGTGGATGAATTGCAGCAGAATTGCAAAGGGTTTCTGACCCTTGGCTGTTCAGTCGCTGCAAAAAGCTTTCTACCTCTTACCTTCTAGGATACTCAAGGATGGGTTGGCGAAATGAAATCTGCTTCATAGAAGCAGGTGAAAAGATTTTTGCACCTGAAGGTTCTTTACTTCCAAGCACCTCAAGAAGTCTGGGTGCCATTTTTTGCGCCTGGCTGACACTCAAGGATTGCTGAAATGCATGTGCTTTGAAGCCTCAAACTATATGTTAAGGTTAGACGAGATGTTAAGGAGTTTAACAATAAAGAGTGGAGCGTTTTGAAAACTGAAGTATGGTACCAATATTTTTATTGTCAACACCAAGTGAAACACGTATTAACACGTACAATTTCTGATAAAATTGTAATATTGTATCTAATATTGTAATATTAGCAATGTGCCACTTATGTGAATTGTATATTAATTCATTCTTGAAGGTAAAGGGACCCCTGACCATTAGGTCCAGTCATGGCTGACTCTGGGGTTGCGGTGCTCATCTTGCTTTACTGGCTGAGGGAGCTGGAGTACAGCTTCTGGGTCATGTGGCCAGCATGACTAAGCCACTTCTGGCGAACCAGAGCAGTGCATGGAAACACCATTTACCTTCCCGCTGGAGCAGTACCTATTGATCTACTTGCACTTTGACTTGCTTTCGAACTGCTAGGTTGGCAGGAGCTGGGACTGAGCAACGGGAGCTCACCCCGCCGTGGGGATTTGAACCGCCAACCTTCTGATCGAAAAGTCCTAGGCTCTGTGGTTTAATCCACAGTGCCACCCGCGTCCCTAATCCATGCTTACAAAAATGATAAATAAAAAGTGTTGCTGACTTCCCCCTCCTCTCCAACCCCGTGGCGACTAGATATTCTGTTTTGATGCCCGCAACCCAGGTCCTAGAAGCCATTCGGCTCCTAGGTTTTCTATCCCAGTTTCTAACACAGACGGTGAGTTTAGTTCTCGAAACATTGCACTTTACCGCTTCTGCACAAATGAGGGAGTCCCTGTGTTAAAGAGCTTGCAGTCTAAAAGCAAGACTGGAGAGAGAGAACAGAGGACTGGGTGAAAGAGCAACACAGGGTTGTTGTGAATGAATGAATGCAGTAGCACAGAGTTAGACTTTGCTGCGCTTCAAGTCTTTTGCGTCGCTTGCTTTTTTTGCAAGAGCATCATAGAAAAGGTGTGTTTGGAGGGATTTGAAGGAGGGGAGAGGTGGCTTTCCGTTGTAGGTGAAGAAGAGAGGTTCATGCTGGCGGGGGCGGCAATAAAAAGCTGTAACAGCAATGGCAAGCTTTATTGGGGATGCTGCAAGCAGTGCCCCCAGCTTAGTGCTCTGATTTTGTGTTGGCTGTCAGGTTGCTCGCTGCTTAAAGTGTTGCTCAGTGCAGTTCTGCTACCCAACAGGGACAGGACTGGGAGTTGTAACATGCTTGATAGTGGAGATGACAGCAGATGCCTCCAGGCTAGAAATGTGAGTTCGGTTACCTGCGAAATGGCTGATTGCTGCACAATTCCAGAGGCTGTTGCATTGTGCCGTGGAAATAGGATCTCTGCCTTGCTGGGCGTGTGAGAAGGAAAGGGGACTTTTGTTTCCTGCAGTGAGTCACAACTGTGCTACCGAAACTACCAAAATAGAAATGGACGGATAATCCTTCATAAATTGTGTAACATCCAGGCGTAATTCAGGGGGTTGACTTTTGCCTCGAGACGCCCAGTGGAATGGGCAACCTTCGGACCTCCAGATGTTGTTGATCTCCATCTCCCATCCAGTGTTCGAAATTAGCCAGGTGCGTTTTGCTACTGGTGCATGTCCGATTGAGACTACATGGAGATTTCTGGGCACCAGGTTGGCGACCAGTTTAAAAACCTCTGCCTTGGTCCTTCATTAATTCCATTTCCACTGTGTGTGTTTCCCCATCTTGCATACTGGAACCAGTGAATTTAGAGCAAGCTACAGATCAAGCAAGGGACGCGGGTGGCGCTGTGGTCTAAACCACAGAGCCTGGGACTTGCCGATCAGAAGGTCAGCGGTTCGAATCCCCACGACGGAGTGAGCTCCCGTTGCTCGGTCCCTGCTCCTGCCAACCTAGCAGTTTGAAAGCACGTCAAGTGCAAGTAGATAAATAGGTACCACTGCGGCAGGAAGGTAAACGGCATTTCTGTGCGCTGTTCTGGTTCGCCAGAAGCAGCTTAGCCCTGCTGGCCACATGACCCAGAAGCTGTCTGTGGACAAACGCCGGCTCCCTCGGCCTATAGAGCGAGATGCGCTCACAACCCCAGTCTGCGACTGGACCTAATGGTCAGGGGTACCTTTACAGATCAAGCAATGTAGTTGAGATCATAGAATTCTGGCATTGGAAGGGAACCCCAATGGTCATTTAGTCCAACTCCATGGTGAATAGACATTCCATTTTGGCGACCACAACCTAGATTCAAGGTACCATTTGGCGCCTAGCTTATATACCTGAGTTTCTAATACTGTTCCTATCAGCCCCAGATAGCAAGAACAGTATTTGGGTATGATGGTAGTTATGGTCCCTGTAACATCATAGCTCTCAGAGGCTAGGATTAGGCCAGTGTGGGATGACTCTTCCTATAACGGTATTGTTGGGGCTGTCGCCTGATTAAGGAAACCTCATTTGATTTGATCTGATTCAATCTGCATATGAGCAAAACTGCCCTAGCAAGAAGCATTCTCTCTGTGTGACTATATAAAATTAACCGCTGCCAATCCATTATGCAGCTTTCTTCACTGGTGTGCATTTTGATGGTTTTGTGATCAGATTCCTGGCAATGGTGTGTGCTAGAAACTGAACACATAATATGTATCTGCCCCTTGAACTCTATAAATCCTTTTGTTGCTGTTTCTTGACTTTAAACTGGCAGAGGAGCAAGCTCTGCTTCTTGAGTTCTGTAAAGGGGCCAGTTGCATCCTTTTCAGAGCTGTCTGCACCGTAATTCAGTGGCAGAGCACATTCTGTGCATGCAAAAGGTTCTGTCCCTGACATCTTCAGGCAGCGCTGGAGAAGATTCCTCTTGGAGATCCATTCTCAAAGCAGACAGTACTGTGCTGAATGGAACAGTGGTCTGAAATCTTTAGAAGGCAGCTCCCTACATACAACAGCAGCTGCTGCCACTCTAAATTATTGTGATGTTTGGTTTGGTCACTTAGCCAGCAGTATACCACATGTTGAAAAATCAGTCTTCAGTACTTGCTTCCAGGATCACCGCAATTGGAACTTGAGTGACCTCTTGGAGGTGAAATGATTGTGCTTTCTGGGTGATGTCTGAGGGCCACAAATACCCTCCTTCCTTCTCTCATTTGAGTGGGAAGCTTGTAACGGATGGCCGTGAATGTGCTTTTATGTCTCAGAGATGGATATTTTTCTAAGCACTTTCCGGGGGTTTTCACAGCCCACTTCTTCTCGAAATGTCAAATATCTCCGCTTCCTGCCATGTGAAATAGGATGAAGTGTTTTTAAGCTGTCATGATTTGTAAAGAACTCTGAAAGAGGCACAACTGCAATATTTGCTCAGAGCAAAATGCAAATGAAAAGGAGCCTATGTTTTGCCACTTCCCAGGTCCCATAATTTTGGAGGTGTTGATTTATGAGGTTTCCGCCTTTCTTACTCTGTAACAATTCAGGAATTGAGTTTTTCAATAATAATAATAATAATAATAAAAAATCATAGGCATCAGTTGTAGCCTAGTTAGAGCTGATGAAGTGTAACAAAGGAAGCTGCCTTATACTGATATTTCCCTATGATCTTTCCCTAGATGTTTATTCTGTTATTATTATTATTATTATTATTAATCATTATGTTTGTACACCACCTTTCATCTGAAGATCACAGTGCAATTCACAGCAGAAAAATACAAAATGAGAACACAAAATACATAATAAAACAAAAGCAAACCAATAACCCTCTTCCAACAAATATTTGAAAGCTCATATAATGTTAATCAGCCAAAGGCCTGGGTATAGAGAAATGTTTTTGCCTGGCACCCAAAGATATATAATGAAGGCACCAGGCAAACGCCAAAATGGAATGTCTAGTTGCCACAGTTGTGAAGAATATTCTTGTGTCATGAATGGTCCATGTCACCATTAAGGGGGAAAAAAGGTTGGAATATATGTGGGCTGTCCCTGGGTCAAGTGACTTTTTCTTTTCTAAGTTCTCAAAGTTCTTAGCCTAGCTTAAGGTTGTCATCTGAACTAGCCAGATGTTTAACAGATAATCCATCACAGTCAATCCCAACATTTGAAAAATAAGACTTTAGAGCCATTTTGCCAAAAAAGAAAAAAAAGAAAAAAGGGGGCTAGACATTCTGTTCTGGCAATGGTAACCTTGGTTTCAGGAGCCATTTGGAACCTAGCTTATATATCTGAGTTTCTAATACTCCCTGCCAGATATGTAACAGGAAGGAGTTCAAAAGGGTGGGTATTGCTACCAAAGGCCTGATTTCTGCAGCACTGGGAGTGGACCTCCTGATGTGATGAAATCTTCGGGAGGCCGTCTCCTGTGGAGCACAGTGATCAGTTGCAGATATATGGGGGTGAGGAATTTTATTTAATTTTATGCCAATATGGGTACAGTAATCCTAGCCTAACTCACAGGGTGGCATTTGCAAAACCTTTTCAGTAAGATGGTAGCATGTGAAGCTCTTTGCATGCTGTATAACACAACACAAATGCTAAGTACTATGATTTGGGGGCCAGCTGTTCAGAAAGAGAAATTCCGCATCCCGCTGGGATGGTTTGAGCCCCTTTCCACGATCCTCGACAGTTCTCTGGCTCGCAGCCAGGATGTCCAGCCCTAAATCATGGCTCTACAATCACACATAGTTTAGGTGTAAGAAGGAGATCTGCCAGTAATCTGTAATAAGGCGGAACAGAGATAAAAATAACCTGTGTTTAATTGGGTGGTGACATTGGTACAATGACTCAGCTATCAAGGAAGTTTTTGAGAAGGGAGGCTACGTGCATCTGCTGCCGTGTAAAGCATATGAGACCCAAAGCAGCAATTTTAAAGGCTCTTTGGTGACGGTTGGTTCAAACTAGTCAAGATCATGTTACAGGGAGGAGGATATTATTTTGTCTTTTGCTTTTAAAAGATCTTGCAGGTATGTTTCTGCGAGACTTGATTGTGGCACGTTTCATCTATAAGATTTTCATAACAGGAATGTGTTGATGATGGGCCATCTAAGAGTACCTTCTGATTGCTGGGATTCTTGCAAAGAATACTGGACTAGCTAGATCAGCGGTTCTCAATCTGTGGGTTCCCAGATGTTGTTGGACTACAACTCCCATCATCCCTGAGCTCTGGCCTTGCTAGCTAGGGGTGATGGGAGTTGTAGTTCAACAACATCTGGGGACCCACAGATTGAGAAAGGCTGAGCTAGATGAAGGCCTGATCCTGCCAAGCACTTAACACATATTTGAGCAGAAGTGTATTCTCCTTCCTGCTCGGTGCAGATTAGTTATGCCTTGGCTACTAAACTAAATGTGTATTTTTCTTTAATTTAAAACACAACAGTGAACTGCAGGCAATGCATGATGATTGCACGACATAATTCCATAGCTCAGGGGCAGAGCATCTGTGTTGCACACAGAAAGTTCCAGGTTCGATCCCCCGACATCTCCACGTGCAGCACTGACAATGACTGAGCTGGATAGGCCCATGGTCTGACTCGGGACAAGGCAAATCCCTGTCTTCCTTCTTTGGGTTGGCTACAGCAGGGTCCTAGGTGCTCCAGTTGCCGCATGGGTGTCGTCAAACCACATCTGCTATTGTTGTTGCCTGCCTCCAGCAGTGAGCAAGAACAAGTAAAATAGGTGGTGGGTAAAGATTCCTGCAGGATAAGGCTTACTTTTAGAGTGGAGAGGAGGGGATGACATCACAAAAGGGATTATGTCCCTGGGAAAGAACTGCCTGTTCCAGTCTATGAAGTCGAAGTCCTTCTGTGACCTCCAGTGTGGCATTGTCCTTATGTCTCCACCCAACTATTTTTATTGCAACCTATCCACAGGGTTCTCATAACCCTGGCAGGGACAGACTCGGCCAGTTTTAATCTCCTGGTTAAAATGTTCAGAATACAGGCGTACTTTTACAAGATTCGAGGAGGTCTGCTGGGTCATACACAAGGCCCATGTAGTCTAGCATCCTGTTCCCACAGTGGCCAGCCACATGCCAGTGGGATGAATAAAGACCTATGGAATTTAAAGGCAACCAAAGCTGGCTTCAGCCTTGTTAGTGCTCTTCAGCAGAGAAACAGGATGAACCCTGAAGTACGTACATGTTGACTTAGGACTCAGATGCACAAACCTTTAGCCCTATATTCACATGCCCATCAGTCCCATGCATCTTATTGTTGTTGTTTAGTGGTGTCTGACTCTTCGTGACCCCATGGACCAGAGCACACCAGGCACTCCTGTCTTCCACTGCCTCCCGCAGTTTGGTCAAACTCATGATCGTAGCTTCAAGAACACTGTCCCAACCATCTTGTCCTCTGTTGTCCCCTGCATATTATTAGAGGTGATAAAAGTATGGTATTGTTGTTTTCACTTGTTTTCCTTCCCCATTATCATTATTATTATTATTATTTTACATTTTATGGTTCCTAGTTATGGTGATTCATGATTAATACATGTTGATTATAAATTTGCATTTCTTATTTTATTTGCATTTCTAGGGATTTGGGTTGGGGTTGGTGACAACTTTGTAATATCATCAAGGCTCAAAGAACTCAGACGTTTGGGAATCCCTGTGAAACTACTATAGGATAATATGCAAAAATTATCCTACACAGTTAAATGTGGGTCATTTCAACCTGCAACATTAAAGGTTATCACCTACTTCTAAAAGTTTGTGTTTTGTCAACATATTTTTAAGGTGTTTTATTTTGTGAGCTTCAACACTTCAGCTATGTTGCAGAGTTTATTTAACTATTCCTTTGACTGCTAGCATTCATTAATGCATTCTGGCCCTTTTTGCTGTGCTTAAATCTGGAACTTAAAAAAACTGTGTTCATTCTGTAGCCTCCTTCTTAACAGTCCCATAAATATAACCAAAAGTTCAAGAACAGATGAAGATGATGTGAGCTGTCATCTTTGATTATCGGAGCCTGTGGCCCAGTTCCTCCCAGTAGCCATCTCTTACTAAAGTCTTAATTCTTCATGAAACCTGACGTTTATATCTAATGTACAATATGCCATTAAACTTGATGAGCAAAAGCTTCATTACAGATAGGGCTTTCCATGTCTTCAAATAAAAATCCCTGTTGCTTTTTAATGCTTCGCTTCCCAGAACTGCAGAGCCATAACTATGGTATATTGGCACCGTCGCCTGGTATTTAATTAATATATTGATACTACCGTACTTGAAATCCATCCATCATTTTCCTACCTCAGCCTTCTGGCATCTGCTTGTAAAAGACTATATAGATAGGCCATATTATTGCTGTAACAATATACCATATTTTGACCCTCCTGTCACAAATGGGGATTTCTTGCAACAGGCATCTCTTAGGTTTACAGGATTTCACTTTTGGGGAGCCCTTTGTGTGTGTGTTTGCAATATATTTTAATTCTCACTTAATCATAGAATTGTAGAGTTGGGAGGGACCTCAAGGGACATGTAGTCCACCCCCTGCAATTCTGGAATCTCAGCTGAAGCATCCATGACAGGTGGTCATCCAACCTCTGCTTAAAAACCTCCAAGGAAGGAGACTTCATCACCGCTCAAAGGCGTTTGTTCCACTGTCGAAAACTCTTGGTGCTGCAGCAGCTGTACTTTGAAACCGAGACCATATAACACCAGTCCTGAAAGATCTTCATTGGCTCCCGGTATGTTTCTGAGCACAATTCAAAGTGTTGGTGCTGACCTTTAAAGCCCTAAACGGCCTCGGTCCTGTATACCTGAAGGAGCGTGTCCACCCCCATCATCCAGCCCGGACACTGAGGTCCAGCACCAAGGGCCTTCTGGCGGTTTCCTCACTGCAAGAAGTGAGGTTACAGGGAACCTGGCAGAGGGCCTTCTCGGTAGTGGTGCCCGCCCTGTGGAACGCCCTCCCTTCAGATGTCAATGAAATATACAACTATTTTACTTTTAAAAGACAACGAAGGCAGCCCTGTTTAGGGAGGTTTTTAATGTCTGATGCTGTATTGTTTTTAATATTCGGTTGGAAGCCGCCTAGAGTGGCTGGGGGAACCCAGCCAGATGGGCGGGGTATAAATATTATTACTACTACTACTACTACTAATACTACTACAAACCTCTTTATACCAGACAAGTACCTTTGTTGTGTGGTTTTGACACCTGCTAACAACGTTTTCGTTGAGGCAAGCCTACCCAGACATGTCGTTTTATTATTTGTGGGCCCAGGACTGCAATACCTCAAGGACTGCCTCTCCCCATATGAACCGACCTGGGCCCTGCGATCATCATCTGAGGCCTTTCTTCTTGTGCCCCCTCTGCAAGAGGTCCGGAGGGTGGGAACACGTGAACAGGCCTTTTCTGCAGTGGCTCCCCATTTGTGGAATGCTCTCCCCAGGGTGGCTTGTATAAAATGCAATGGCTGGAAAGGCATTGCATTCCAGCACTAATCATACTCTTGCATCTTCAAGTGGAAAATATTTCAGGCCACAATATCTTCTTAAAGACAGTTTTGCCAGTACTGATCTAGGGAGTCCAGAGTTCCTCACAACCATCATTTGAAAAACAAACAAACTACTCTTCTGAACCACTGGGGCTTCACCACTTAGAGCACAGCCACTGCATGACAATCCAGCCTTAGGGTGGATTGCATTGGCAGCATCCAACCTTATAAATATATAATATATTTACATAATGTCGAATCCTATTCCATTTTCGCACCCCAGTCTTAAAAGGCTGAAGACTAATACAGTGGTACCTCGGGTTACATACGCTTCAGGTTACATACGCTTCAGGTTACACACTCCACTAAGCCAGAAATAGTGCTTCAGGTTAAGAACTTTGCTTCAGGATAAGAACAGAAATCGGGCTCCAGCGGCATGGCGGCAGCAGGAGGCCCCATTAGCTAAAGTGGTGCTTCAGGTTAAGAACAGTTTCAGGTTAAGTACGCACCTCCGGAACGAATTAAGTACTTAACCCGAGGTACCAGTGTATTCTGGATTGATGACCGAGGGTCACACCTACGGTTTCTATTCTGTGTCAGTCAATAAAACACACAAGCTCCATGCACATTCTGTTTTTAGATGTGCACTCCTAAGGAGTGCCAGCAGCATGGGTGGAAGCCCGAGGGTGGAAAACTGGTACACAGAGTAGACCTTGTGATTCTAGTAGTGTACGTTGGAATTGATTTGCCATGGATGGGCTTCTGCCAGGTGACTTGGCTGGCAACTCTTAGTGGGGAATCCTCAAATTTCTCAATGGCTTCTGTTGAATTTTAGGTTTCTGCGACTTTCCAGATTTTGCTCACTATGATCCCATTTGCAAACACTTTTGACCTCTGACATAGTGATTTGTCACATACCAGGCTCATCGGTTGCCAGTACATTTTGTTGTGTGAATTTTGTGTGATTCGCCGCATCCGGGGTTCTGTTTGCTGAATTTAGACGACTAAACTCATACCCATAGATTGCATGGGGGTTCTCTCTTTAAAAAAAACACCCCTAAACAAACCAGGTTGTTAGCAGTGTGTGCTATCCATTCTGCGTGTAGCTTGGTAAATCCCATTTTGTAATAAGATATTTGGGGGAGCAGGTAGATCGCACAATAACCCCTAGTTTTGCTGGGTTTATGAATGCAACATGAATCTGAATATCCAAATACCTGGGACTTAACCAGTGCAGCAGATGGTGGCGCGGAAGTCAGAAAGGTTATCTGATCTGCTGTGTGTGCCTCAGTTGGAGGAAGTCTCAGGTTTCACATGCTAACAAGGCACCGGGTCTCTCGAATCTTGCATCATGGTGGTGCCAACCAGCCTTAGAGCACAACACAAATAGAAATAGGAATCATTAGCGTAATCAAAGGAGGACGTGTAGAGATGCTGAAATTTCATTCATTAATGAAACGATGATGGTGATTCACTCTTTCACATGGTTTTACTTCAGTGAAATCTAGTGAGAGAGAAAGTGGGACAAGGATGTTTTGTTTTATTTGCAGAAGTTGTAGGTCACTGTGATTGTTTGGAGGAGGGGCTTTGGTTGCGGGCTGACCCCCTTTTTGTATAAATATCCTTCCCTACACCACGTAATTACTATATGCTCCCCAAGGATAAATATCCTGAAACAGATGTAAAACTTAATGAAACCTTGTGAAATATTCTAAAAACACAAGGTCATAGCTTAAATGCCCATCTAATCTAGCTTTCGGAGAAGATTTCAGTAGGGAGGGGGATATCCTCTTTAAACCAACACACTGGAAAATACCAGCCTATTTGGGAAGATAAGCAGATACTTCCAGTTGCAATAAAGCCAATCTCAGGCTTTCTTAGCTAGTTTGTTCAGAGTTATTTGCAAAAAAGAGCGAGGGAGGCAACCTCACCAGCACCTTCCGTGGAGATGCTTTTGTCCAATGGTAAGAGATACTCTATATTCTTACCCCAGTTTATGCAGCCAATGAAACTTTGAAGGCTAGATCCATCTCCCTAATGACTTTCAACTTGGATTACAAAAGAGCTTGCCAGTTAGCTTTTGTGGGGGCGAAGCAAGGGAAGGATTAACAAGGATGCATATTCAGAACTGGAACACTGGATAGCTCTCGCTATTTAGGATTCACTTCTGTGGCATGAAATCCCAAGTGCTGTAGGTGAGCTGGATCAGAATATCACAGCTGCCCTGTTGCAAAGTACAGTGGTGCCTCGCAAGACGAAAATAATTTGTTCTGCGAATCTTTTCGTCTTGCGATGTTTTTCGTCTTGCGAAGAACGGTCCGTCGCAACTGCGCCTCTTCAAGCGGCTTTAAAAAAAAAGCGCAAGACGTTTTCGTCTTGCGAAGCAAGCCCATAGGGAAATTCGTCTAGCGAAGCAACGCAAAACCGAAAAACCCTTTCGTCTAGCGAGTTTTTCCGTCTTGCAGTGGAGTACCACTGTACTCCACATGGCTTTCAACAAGGAATAAAAATATAACATTTGGTAACAACAGAAACTATAAGTATAAATATAGCAGAAAAACAATTGGGGGGTCTTTTCCTAAACACATTCTTTACACCTGCCTGATCTGCTAATTCCTAGATTCCCCTTCTAGCTTGTAAAATTTCCTTGTAGGACCAGCTATTGGTGTTACCTATTGTCCCATTTGCCTCATTCTTGCCCATGCCAGATTCCTAATTATTTCTTTGACTTGTCCCTAGGTATGACTGCTTTTGGCAGCCCTTTATTCTGTAATATTAAAGCCTGACAGACAATGATAGAGGGGTTGCATTTCATATTGCAGGAGTCCTGTGGAATTCCTTTATCCGCTTCTGAAGTGTTGGTCTTGGCATATCCCTATATATAAAGTTGGACACCTGGTGCTTTGCATTCTTCCAAGTTAAATACAGGCTGTACTAAAGAATCGTATCAGTAGCTGTGTGTAGCTGTTTTTTATTGCAGGTAGTGCTTGAAACTAGTGCTTTGTGTACTTTTCAAAGAGCATTGGAACCTAATTTTAGCCAGATGCACGCACTGGGGGCTGTGTGGGTGTGAGTACAGCAGCAATCCATTCTCCCTGTAGTCAAAGCGAGCTAAAAAGCGTCCCCTGGGGGAGCCAATCTGTATCTTTTTATCCATATGCCTGGAGGGGATTGATGGGCAGCTGTGTGCAATTCTGATCTCTGAATGAGCTCACTGCCTGCCCTTGTTGCATAGCAAAGGGATCAAGTTCCCACGAGTTGCCTTGGCCTCTAGCTAGGCTACCAATAAGAAAAACAAAACAAAACAAAAAGTACCAGCATTTTTCACCTTTGTTTTGGGTTTTGACCATGCTGGTTGTGTGTATTACAGGAAGGAATTGGCACTGGGTGAGATCTGAGCATACTAAGATTCCCAACTTGCTTTTTTCCTTTAGATTTATAAAGGTAGTACCTGACTAAGGAAGGAGGCCTGAGTGACCTCATTGCCCTGCATCAAAAAAGCGGGCTGATAATGCAAAATAAGCGGACACATGCAGATTATAAAAGTCACAGAGACCAATATTTCTTGGTGTGGCGCTGTGGGTTAAACCACAGAGCCTAGGACTTGCCAATCAGAAGGTCGGCGATTCGAATCCCCGCGACTAGATGAGCTCCCGTTGCTCAGTCCCTGCTCCTGCCACCTAGAAGTTCAAAAGCACGTCAAAGTGCAAGTAGATAAATAGGTACCGCTCCGGTGAGAAGGTAAACGGCGTTTCTGTGTGCTGCTCTGGTTCACCAGAAGCGGCTTAGTCAGGCTGGCCACATCACCTGGAAGCTGTACGCCGGCTCCCTCGGCCAATAAAGCGAGATGAGCACCACAACCCCAGAGTCAGCCACGACTGGACCTAATGGTCAGGGGTCCCTTTACCCTTACCTATAAACATTCCTTCCATAGATGCCCTTGAGAGATTGTTTTTCCGCACACCATCACAATGCAGTTGCCGAGTTTGAAGTACATGAGCAAGACTTTTGAAAGTGTTCAACCCTTGTTCTTCTTGGCTTGTGTGCAAGTGGCAAAGGAAGTTGTTGACGGGATTCTGCTGTAAAAAAGGTAAAGGTAAAGGACCCCTGACAATTATATCAAGTCACAGACGACTCTGGGGTTGCGGCGCTCATCTGCTTTACAGGCCGAGGGAGCCAGCGTTTGTCCGCAGACAGTTTTCCTGGGTCATGTGGCCAGCATGACTAAGCTACTTCTGGTGAAACCAGAGCAGCGCACGGAAATGCTGCTTACGTTCCTGCCAGAGAGGTACCTATTTATCTACTTGCACTTTTTGACGTGCTTTCGAACTGCTAGGTTGGCAGGAGCTGGGACTAAGCAACAGGAGCTAACCCCGTCACAGAGATTCGAACCGCCGACCTTCTGATTGGCAAGCCCAAGAGGCTCAGTGGTTTAGATAAGCATTTAGCAATATGGCAGCTAGCCACAAGGTTTATGTCCTACCTCTGCTATATGCCTTTGGAGACCAGTTCCTGGGAATCACAGGTGGGAAGAACATCATTGTACTCATTTTCCACCTTCAGGCTTCTTACAGGTATCTGGTTGGCCTCTGTAGAACAGGATGCTGGACGAGATGGACCTTCAGCCTGGCCCAGCAAATTATGATAGCAAATGACCACCAACTAGGCATAATGCTGTTACATCGCACTGCAGCTGGTGCGTCATGGTGGCATCATTGGATTAACTGGTAAAACTTAAGAGCATTTCTCCTAGTAGTAAAGCAATCATATCAGTGCATAGTTGTTTTAGCATTGGCATGAACGTGCAAGCTTGCTGGACAGGTCTTGTCCAGCTTTCTCGATGGGCTTTGGGTTTCCTTAACTACTATTCTTTCATTGGGTGATAGTGATCAGATGCACAGCTTATTATAGCCCAGTTGAGTTTGTGCCCTAAATCCACAGAACATTGCTGAGAAAATAGTCAGAAATAAGCCGACATAGTCCAGTGAACTATAAGCCAAGAGCTAATCCTGACACCGTTGACCCAGTATGGGGCCTGTTCTTGGGATAATTCCATTAGTCGATAAAATGAGGATTATGATTGCTATCTGTGAAACAGAGATCATGACAGATGATGGAGTGTGTGTGTGGTAACATACTATTTTGTTTTGTTTTTAAGTAGGCTTGTTGGACAAAAAGTAAGTTTTCAAATGATGCCTTTAAAATTTCCCAAGACTGCAGTTCATTGAGGGCCAGGGATGATGGATAAACACCCATATGTGGAGAAAGAATTATACTTCAAAGCTACATGTACAGTCTATATACAGTATCTATATATTAGATGTGCTAATCATTCTTAAACACCATTTTTTGTTGAATTGTCAGGGCATCTCTATATGTGTAAGATTGCAGAGCGAGAATAGTATTGGTAATTTAAGTACACAGGTGATTTTTGCAAGTCAACTATAATTGATTTTCCATGTGCATAGAGATTTTGTGGTCTTACGTGTTTAGCTTTTCACAAAGAGAAGGTTGCAAGCAGGATGCATTTGATTTAAATAAAATTGATTTAGATCACTAGTCAGTAAGACTTGATTTAAATCTTTTTTTTTTTTACAGAAAAACTCATTCTTGCTGGTATATTTACATTTACAACCAGATGAAGGTTTCATTTTTGGAATACAGTAATAAATTTTCAGAGTAGTTTTTACAGTTTTATCAAAAATTACTGATTTCGTTATACTATTAGAAGTACATAGACCAATAATTATGACATTATTGTGAGGTTTAATAAGTGAACTGTTTATATTTGGACAACTTTTCTGCTGTACTTTATCAGAAGGAGAAAAATAATCATTTCCTTAATAACAATTTAAACAAATTCTTTAACTAAAATAACATTATAGCATATGTATCAATGTTTGTTAATTGACGTGGTTAAACAATTTTAAAAAAGACTAAGTTTTAGCACACATGAAAAACTTAAACAAATCCTTATTTCCTGATGAATAGCCTTTGGACTATAATGTAACTTAAATAGAAAACTATCTCTACAAAGATTTTTCCTCCAAAAGCATTTTATTTTAATAATCCAATTTAAATTTTTTTAAAAATCTGTTTTGAATTTTAAAAATTGATTATTATTATTTTTAAAAAGTATATCAATGATTTTTATCCACCCTTGTTGCAGTCTGTAGGTAGAAGAGTCATAGTATGTTAGCAAAGCACCTGCTTTGTGTGCAGAAGTTCCTATTTCAGTTATTGGCATTTATAGCTAGGGCACGGGAAGATGCTAGAGACTCACCACCAGTCAACGTAGATGAGGGGTAGCCCACATGGTGCATCCCAGATGTTGCTTGACCCTAACTCCCACCATCTCAATCCAACATGTCCAATGGTCAGTGATAATGAGAGTTGCAGACCAGTTGTATCTGGAGGGCACCACAATGGCTATTCCTGCAGTACACAATACAGAGTTGGGTGGGCCAATGTCCTGACTTGGTATAAGCCAGTTTCCTATATTCTTACATTTTCATCAGATGATTCACCGATAAAGTAGTAAATGCAAGCTAGCATTGGTGGGGCTGGATACACTTGACAGACGTTCCTTTCCAAGTTTCAGCCAAAGTCAGCACTTGTACCGCAACTGATAGTTGTTGAGTTTGATGTGAAAGTCTCCCGCAGTACTCTCTTGGGCCCAGAGCTCATTGTAACCTTGAACAAATCCCATGGTGTCTCATCTTTGTTCAACTCCACTTGCTTTGCTAAAAATAATTGCCATGCAAATTTTGTACGCAAGGTTGTAGAAATTAATTAAGGTTAGGTAAATGTTAGGTTAGGCTTATTAAACGTATTAATCTCTTCTCACAACAGAGCCCCCCAAAGCTGTCAAGGATATAATACAGTAGTTTCTAGCTCTGATCGAGATCTTGGCGAGAGGTGTACAGGGATGAAAAGTGTCCTGTGTTCCTCTATGCGGGGTGTGTTCTCTGGAGCAGAGGTGCTTTATCGCGCCTAAAAAGTTGAGGTTGCTAGCTGTTATTTGTGGAGAGGAACGTAAGATTTTTCCATCTGCTTAACTTGCTTGCTTGTTGCTGAACAACATTTTGTCGTCCTGTTGCAAGAATGGGGAAATGTTTTGTTGCTGTTTGCTTGAAGAGGCCACATTTCCTCCTAGGCAACCTTTGGCCAGGGTGAGGTGGGAGGAGCCAGGAGCAAAATGTGGGCGGAGCAACTAATGTTAATTTCCCCTTCGGGCAGTAGATTCCTTTCTACACACACACTCAAGCATCCCTCTCCTGGGCAAGCAAGAATTATTATCGGAGTGCAAGGGCACATTCTAACCAGGCACACAATTCTAGCAGTGTGTGAAGCAAGACCAGTGAGAGGTTTAGCTCATGACGGGGTGTGGCCTGGGGGAAAACTCGAGGGCCAGATAGAGAGGCCTGGAGGGCCACATCGGATCCCCAGGCTTGAGGCTTCCCACCTTTACCAATTGAAATTAGAAATGGATTTTTTTTTACCAGAAAGTAAAAGCAACCAAGATCCACACCAGAGGAAGATCCCTTTGCAAATTCCCCAGATACTTGTTAAACACATTTGTTTTCTTTGCCCTTTTACTGCTGAAGGAACAGAATTTCCATTAGCTTGTTCTGAAGAGAAGGGCAGGGTTAGAAAGGACATTCCAAAAGGCTTTCCAAAACAGATGGTTTTCAAGTATAGTTACACGGGATTTTAATAACTTGGACACAGCAAATGGATGTGGTGGCAGTGACTGATTGTGGAAATAGCTCCTGTGCAGCTTTCGTTCCAGAGACTAGTTTTTATGTAATTTCATATGCTAATTCGGAGGCTATCACTCTCAGTGCAGAGGCAAGATGGGAGTTATAATAAACCATTTCCAGGATGGATGGACGGACGGATGGTTGTTTACAAGCAGCATTTAGTGCCGTGAATTATATAGAGAACAAGTGACACGTTAGTTGCAAGGCACAAATAACTTCATTTTAGAAAGGCTTGTCCTGAATATGTGAGAAGGAAGGTTTGTAATTTGGATTTGGCATTATATAGCAATTTACTGTTTTAAGATGGCTATAATTAAATATACCCTCTGGCGCTTGTTTCCCAGAACTGGATGTGTTAAGACCAAGCCACCACATGGTGGTGAAAACCTGATTTTTGGATTAACTGATAAGGAACCTGAGATGGATTAGCTGATAAGGAAAGGCAGGATTACCTGGCATCTTAAATAAGCCACAGAGGAGATGGTCACAGCCAACTGAGATGTTTTGTGGTGGCATTAGTTATCTGGGGTTTCCAGAGTGTACAGGCTGCTTGCCCTGTTCATTTAAACTTCTTGGATCTCTGAATGCCATAATAGAGATGAGCTTCACATTGCACAGAAGGAAGTGGCAGAAGTTTTAAGCTGCAGGTGGGAGACCCTGCTTTAGAATGCTTAGACTTTTAATCAGCTAATAATTAATCAAGAGAGATTTAGAGTAGCACTATCCATAATTCGCTATGCGCGTTTTTGTTTTGTTTTGTTTTTTGTTACATGTGGATGCATTTTTAAAAATCCACTAGCAGTATCTCTATTGGGGAGACATTCCAACTTTCATACTAAGTTTTTCTTACAGGCAAGTCTTCTCTTCTTCTTTTTTACATAGAGGATTTTCAGAGCATGAGCCTGCAGTCCCATCTTCAGACCAGGAGAGTCACTTGCATGTAGAAGGTGCTGCCAACCCACACTTTTGTTGCAGTGCAGGCCCAGAATAAACCATTTTAGTATGGGTAAAGTTGGGGTGCTGTAAGCCTCCCCCTGCTCATGTTTGAGGAGGGGGGAGCAGTAATCTCCCAGCAGCACCTGGCTTCCAGGAAGAGCACTGTGGCCAGGGCCAACTCACTGAAGGACCAGATCACACAAACTGTGCTGCTGCCACACAGAAGCTGACTGGACTGGCCGTTCAGCACTGGCAGTGTGCTGCACCTCATAGCACACACTACTGCTGGCCACCTCACTCTGCCTAATGGTAGAGCCGGTCCTCACTCGCACACTACCATAGCTGCCTCGCCCAGCCTTAAAAGAAGTGGAATGAGGACAGCAGGCATGTTGTAAATAGTTGCTCTGCAAGCCTAGGCAAAATAATATACTGAGCCAATTTCTGATTGGGGTAAGGTAGGGATATATGAGCTGAACCCTTCATTGGCATGGTGGGTGGTTGTTTTTTGGTGGTTGTTTCTTACCCATGACCAAAAATATTCAGAGTTTCCACGAACGACCCTTGGAAATTCCTCAGCAGATCCGTATGAAAGGTGTTCCCTGAAAGTTGAAAGCGACAGCTCGGGAAAGCTTGCATGCCGGCCCACTGTTGTGCTTGAGACAGCTTGCTGATCTCGGAGACCATGAACTAATATTGTTCGCTCTTCGTGGTGTTGTGCATTTTTGCAGAAGGCGTTTTATCTCCCAGCGCTGCTCTCTAGAGTTTTTAGAAGACATAGTGGAATGTGCCAGTGTGCGAAGGTACTTGTTCAAAAGCAGCATTAACCTTCTCTTGTTGCATGCATTGCAAGTCCTTTCCCTCCTGCACCCTTTTCCAAGACAAATTCCTCAGGTCCTGCATGTGTACTCATTCCGACTCCGACATGTGCATCCTTTTTATTACCCTCTTAATTTGCATTTTGCCCAGATCTTACTCGCATTTCCCCTTACCCTCTTAAATCGTAGAACCAAGCACGTATCTGGATCACCAAGACATAAAGGCTTGAAGAAGATCCACTTCATCAAGAACATGAGGCAGTATGACACAAGGAACAGCAGGTAACCTTTCTGTAACTGAAGGAATCCCAGTCCACCTTGCAGTTAAATTATGGCAAATGGCTCTACTCTAGCTGTGGCCTATATGTTCACGAGTGACCATGTTTGGTGAAAAACACCTTGATGTGAAAACCTTGCTAACGGGGGATTATGGGTGGCATTCATCTAAATCAGTGTTACCCAAACTTGGGGCTTCAGCTGTTGTTGGACTACAACTTCCATCATCCCTAGCAAGCAGGACCAGTGGTCAGAGATGATGGGAACTGTAGTCCAAAAACAGCTGGAGACCTAAGTTTGGGAAACACTGACAAATCTTACTCTGCATAAACACTGAGATTAATTTTTTTAAAAAAAATATTGAAAATTTTACAGTGCAGTAGATTAGAGTAGATGATAAAGAAGAAATTAGAGAGGAAAAAGGGGAAAGGAAGATGAAGAAAAGCAAGAGAATTCATTATATAATAGCAATAACGAAGTGTCATTAAAATGTAATTACGATTATAAAAATATATAATATATACATAGATAGATAGACTTATTGTATTCCTGTATACATTGATTCATGAGTCACTATGGTTTAAATAAATCAAAGGAAGCCATATTTTTGTCTTTCCAATGTATCAGTATTAATCTTTTTGCAGATGTAAGGGAGAGTCCATTTACGTTGACCATTTGTTAAGCCCCATATATTAGGAATATAGTTTAAGGTGATGTTATCTTCTGAAATTTTTAACTCACTGAATTTAATGGACTTAACTTAGTTGCGCTCGTTAATTCCAATGGGCCTACTCTCAAGTAAAACTATCTGACACCAACAGCACCACGTAGCCAACTGGGTTGGCCTACGCAGTGCCATCATGGAGGTCGAATTCAGTGCCTATGCTTCTTTCTCATCTCTGCCCAATAGGCAGTTGATATTTCTGTGCCCTATTGGAGCAGATACTTGGAGGACTAGTAGAGAACTCATGGCTAATGGGAAAGTTAGAGCAAAATACACTTGGTTTTCAAGATAGTTTCCTAGGTCATTTTATTCTTACGTGGGAATAATCTCTGTGAAAACAGATGTAGTGTTGCTTCAAAAGCAGGCTTCCCCGACCTGATGCCCTCCAGAAGTTGTGGACTAAACCACCAAGAATGTAGTCAAAAACATATGGGTTGCTAGGGCTAAGAATTACTTTTAAGAGAGGGCTTCATATTCTATTTATTCTATTTGTATTTTTGGTAGCCGTTTTTTAATTGTATTATGAAAATATTTACTGAAAATATTGTTTATTTGTGTGTGTTTTTTAAAGGAAGGTTTCCCGAAATGTGGCTGTTGGGCTAAAAAAGCAAGGAGAAAATGGCTAAGTTGTGTATGTGTGTGTTACAAAGTTAGGTTCTCGCCGCTCCCAGAGAGCTCTTCTAACTCAAGATAGGAAGGCTAGATATGAATGCAATTTATTTTCCATGATTCACTGTACCCTGTCTGTATTTCTTTTTAGGATAGTATTAATTTGTGCTAAACGAAGTTTGTGTGTGGCTTTTTCTATCATGCCCTATGGGGAGAATTTTCGGATCAGGTGAGTAGCTGCTATTTTTGTCAGACCGATAACTTTTAATTGGTTATTTGTTTATTATTACATTTGGATCCCCACTTTTTCTCCAAGGAGCTTCATGGTGCTTCTCCATTTTATCCTCGCAATATCACTGTGAGGTAGGTTGGGCTAAGAGACAATGACTGGCCCAAGGCAACCCAGCTAGCTTCATGGCTGGGTGAAGATTTGAACCCTGGTTTCCCTGCTATTTCCTTATGTTCTATGGTTTTTACTGATGCTCTAACATCATCATTGGTTTGCTTTTATGCCACTTTTCCAGAAAACTGGGCCCAAAGTGGTTCACAATGTGCCAAAGAAACGAGAAGTTCAACGGTCCTAAACACATTGGAAACAATTATAAACCATAATATCAACACAAGCACAAAAACAATCAGTGTAAAACAATACAAATAAGCTAACTTAAGAGTTTAAAGTGAACACTGTATGAAACAATACAAATTCCACCGATATGATTTAAATTAAGTAACCAAAACTGGGCAGAAGATAAAATAAAGCAACTACAAATAAAAAGAACGGTATCATTGAAGGCAATGCCATTTATTTCATGATTACCATTTGCTTTTCACTATTTATTTCCTATAAATCGTTTTCCGAGCTCTGCCTGAAAAACTGGTGTATGAATACTGTAAATAAAAATTACACATTTGGTTTCACTAGTGGGTTGTTTTTCAAAAGGGTGTCAGCGTAAGCAGACATTTACTTTTCAGCTCTTTGGGCATGTCCTACTTATAACCAATAAAAATGTTCCAGTTCTCCTCTGCATATATCTAACGCTTAATCAGGCCTGGCCAAACACAGAACAAACAGAACACGATTTCTGTTGTCACTCAAGCACATATGCATAGCACACTGAAGAAGGAAACGGATATTTTTATGACAGAACTTGACATACAGATGTGCCTGCCATAAATAGACTATGGGAAACTTTCTTTCCAGCTCAGTGGGAACACTGCAAGGTCACTCAAAAGAGCATTTGCTGAAAACTAGATGAATGATAGGGGTGGGGTGGGGGATTTGAAACAAGGCGAGGTATCGGATAGTGCCGTTATGAACTAGAAATCCCAGAAGACTGTCAAACATGTCATCTGGCAGCTACTGATGGATAATTTAGGAAAGGAATACATTTTTCTGTATATTTTATATACCTAGCTAGTAAGACTTAAATACACATGCCTACTTCAGATACCTGTGCGCATTAAGATGATAAACACTATGTTTGGATATCTCTTCAAATCTTGGAGTTGCCTGAATTTTTTAGCCCTGAAATCCCAAGGTCATTGATGTGTTGCTTATGTCTGAAACTGATTTGTACATAACCACTGAACACATTCAATCCATTGTTGGCTTTGGATTTAAAGAGCCTATAAATGGATTAGCAAGCACAAGAAAATTTATTTTGCGCAGATTTTTTTTTTTAAAAAAAGGTCAAGGACAGAGTAGACAAAGTAGGCAAATGGGTTCCCACAGCTGGATTCATATCCATGTGGATTTTGCAATACGTAGTTGAAGCTCATGGTCTTCTCCCTGAGAATCCCATGTACCCCCAGAATTGCAGTTCAGGGATCGCGTCCAAAACCAGCAATAATGTGTTCAGAATTCTGTGTCCAATCATGGGAATTCCTTGCAAAGTCGAGCTCGCTCTCTGTGTGTGTAAATAAAGTATGAATTACCCTCGAGTTAAATTACTTTAAAAATAGGAAGATCTCAGGGCCATTGCTTACATCCCCTTTGCTGGTTCAGTGAGTTTTTATGTCTTGAGCCTTTTAAGAACAAATGTTTATGGCAGCAGAGAAGACGTGGGAATTGGCCTCCTAATCTCTAGCTGTGTTGAGGGGCTTGTTTTTATTTTGTTTGTTTTTTGGGTTTTTTTACTACGGAGCTAGGATGAGAAGAAACAGCTTTAATTCCTGTCTTGCCAATTCTGCCCTTAACAGTGAACTGAGAATAGAGGGGCAGAAGCAGAGACATCCTTCTGGTGGCGTTTCAGTCTCTACGGAGATGGTGCTAGGAATGGAAGGGGTCGAGCTAGGAGCTGATGGCAAGGTAAGGAGCCCGTTGGCGAACGGTGGATCTCTTTGCTTGTTCTTGGAAGTTGTGGGGCTTCATCAGTTCCGATACAAAAATCAAGAGCAAGCCTGGTGGTTTAAGCCCACATGTGCCATTCATGGTTGCTCATACATCCTCCCACGGATCCTTCAGCTCTCTCTTGATGCAATTCAGACATACACTTTTGACTTCTTCTGATACTGTTTGGGCTAGGGTAGTCAACACGGCACCCACACAAGCTGTTGGACTCCCATCAGCCCCAAGCAGCACAGCCAATGAGCCCCATTCTCTGAACGAGAGATCTGGAGGAAGTAGCAGAATATCTGAGCAATGCCATGAAACTACGTTGTCATAAGACTTGGGTGGTACTTTAACTTCCTGGGCCTGTATAGTTTGATCTCAAAGCGTCTCCTCCTGTGAGCAGATGCCAATTCTCTGTTTCAATTCATGTATTCTTATTTTCTTTGTATGCCAATAAAGGTTGATTGAACTGATTAGGGCTAATGGGTTAGAGGACGGCAGCAATTGAAAGGAAGCCTATTGGCAACCTCTGGTCTAGACGTTTGGCTGGTTGCATGTGATCATAGGTAAGGTTGTTTAATACTTTCTGCTTCTCTGGCTGATGGGAAGACTTTTGCATTATCGGTTTCCACATGGGGAGCATGTGCAGTAATCAGCTTGAGTATGGCAGGAATCCTGTTATTTCACAGCAGCGTCAGTTTCCCCCAATGGAAATGGCATGTGGTTTGAAACTCTCAAGGCTCCTCCACACAGCAGGGAAGTATCTAAATCGGTGTTTCCCAAACTTGGGTCTCCATTTGTGTTTGGACTACAATTCCCATCATCCCTGACCACCCGTCCTGCTAGTTAGGGATGATGGGAACTGTAGTCCAACAACAGATGGAGACCCAAGGTTGGGAAACACTGATCTAGATATTGCAAAACTGTCAGCCTGGTGCCCTTCAAAGGTTTTGGGCTACAACTCCCATCAGCACCAGCACCAGCACCAATGAGAGTTGTAGTCCAAAACCCCTGGAGACAGCAGATTGGTGAAGTCTGTGTCCAGACTCTATTTCTTCCTCCAGGCCCCATCCACGCAGGTGTAGCGAGTTTGGTAGCTAAAAGATAGGATCTGTTAATGTTCAATTAACCAAGGATCATGTTCCCATCAGAGCCCATTGAAGAGGCATCCCTGACTGTTAATTAAACCAAAGCCCAAGATATGGGGAAATCTCATTTGATCACCAGAACACAGTGAGCCTAAGTTGATAGAGTATTTGTCCAGTGCAATAACACTTTGGTGCATTAGGTTCTGAGAATCCATTTGTGGAGCATTTTGAAAGTTATTCCAGAAAGATGTTAAAAGCAGCAGTTCAATTCAACCTGAAACTATAACAGAGCATTAACGTAATCTCTTGTCTCCCTTTCCCCTATTGCTTTTTAGAATTCTGGATGAAAGCTATTAGGGGTGTGTGTGTGTGTGTGTGTGTGTGTGTGTGCGCAATTCATCAGATTTACTCTAACGGTAAACACAGTGAATTGGGGTCCAGCTGCTATCTGGGGAAATGGCAGCTATTTGTTTTTTAAATAGCTCTCCGGTTCTCCCCAAACTATCGGTTGCATTTAAGACACAGCAGTTAAACTAAGACAGACAGTCTGTGTCTTCAGAGTTGATTCTAAGGGGCTTCCTATCACAAGAGAAGAAATTTTAAACTTGCAGTCCAGAGTTCAAAAGATCCCTGCAAAAATCATAAGGTGACTATGCTAACGTTAATTGGGACTGGCTATCTTGCAGGTTGTGTCTTACGCGAAGTTCTTGTATCCGACGAATGCTCTCGTTGGCCGCAAAAATGATGTCCATGGTCCTGTCCCTGTGTGCCGAGCCTCCGTTCTGCGGAGTACTGGTGGATCGAGATACAAAACTGCAACAGCCAAAACAATACCTTCCACAGCAGATATTGGTAAACACCATGTGACTCCTCTATGCCCTTCTGTGGTCCTTCTGTGCTGACATTGTTTTTTTTAAAAAAGGCAAAGGTGATGATGAAATAGTGTCGGCGATAGGTTTTGATTGGCCAAAATGAGATTAGGAGGAATCAGAATATAAATTCCATTTAGAGAATTTGAATTCCATCTAGAGTATGTTAGAGGATTCTGAGCTTTCAAGGGTTCAAGGCCCTTTGTTATTAATAGTAGTAGCATTAGCAGTAATGAATAGTAGTATTAATAGAATGCTTTTAGTGTACATGATACTTTAGAATAATGAGCACAGGAAGGACAGGTCCCTGCTCAGAAGATATACAGTCCCATTTCACAATCTCCACTTGTATTCTGCCTGTCCAAACTAGTTTTCTGCCCATCTCACTGCCTGGTTCATGCGCATGTTTTCAACCAATTGTTGTTAAGGAAGAGTGGATAACTGGGCTTCTTCAGCAGGAAAGATGGGATAGAAGTTATCATCATCATCATCATCAATTTTGTGCAAAGTCAAACAGACCAATCTGCTGAATTTCTCCCATCATGTTATTTTTTTTAGTTATTCATTTAATAATTCCAAGAAGTTACCAGGGCAGTAGTCCCTCAGTAAGGGCTACAGACTTGTATTTTTATAATCAAAAGGGTAACAATTTCAAAAAGCAAAACTCTGCCTAGATAAGATACCAGCTTCCATGCCCCTGCAGTAAATGTTCAGGCATGCTGAATATACACAAAGCTGCTCTTAAATGCTACCAATTTAATCAGATTCCCTTGTGGTTGAGTGGAATATTTCATTCCTAGATGTTGCTTAATTTCAGCACTGAAATATCAGGACCATCTAAAAAGAACTATTTATTTGGGCTTCATAACCATATGTAGGCATAAGGATACAGGCAAGACATTTTCTGAGAATCAGGGCAATGCCTTAAATGGGTCTTATAAGAATCTGGGCAGAGTGCCAACAACCTTACTGTAACACTGAGCTGGCATTTAATAAATATCCTATCCCGCCAACATTTGGCTTTTGCAAACTGTTTCAAAAGTCCTAATTTATGAATGCCACCTTTTGAATTTGAAACTAGGAAGCCAGTTCCGCTGAAGATGCAAACAGTTATAGAAATATAAGTGAGACCAGTAAGAAAACCATGTAATATATAATGCTTCTGTTCAGGGTTCTAGGATTGTACTCTTTCAGGATACGCCATTCCATCTAGTTTCCATTTGCCCTCCCCTCAAGTTGTCAGCATTCTGTGCCCAGTAAGGCCCCATCTGCCCTATATATTTAAAGCCATATAATATCACTTCAAACAGTAATGGCTTTCCTCAAATAATCCTGGGAACTGTAGTTTGATAGGGGGACTGAAACTTATTGGAATGCCCCATTGCACCCCTGCCAAAGCCTCCCTTATATGGGTTGCAAGTTCTCACAGAGATCTTGCGAGATCTTGCAGAGTGCTCATGTTGAGATTCCTGGGCCCTGCAAAAGTGGTAGTAATTCTGCCATGCAGGGATGTGGTTTTTTTATGATTGTTCTACATATCGGAGCATCTGAATATAGAGGGTTTATTATTCATCATAGTGCAGAAACAAGCTAGACTTTGGGTTGAAGTGGTACCGCTGGTGATTGGTCCGTCTAGCGATCTGCTCTGATAAATGGGTTCATTTATCCGCGTGGATAAGGTCTTCTTGAATGCTAATACTTTGTTTCCTAAAACTTTCCTTGGTTGTTACCTGAACCTTCTCGAAAGCACTTCTTCACAGAAAATGCTTCGTTCATACAGCACAAAATGGAATTTGTTCCCATATAGATATAGTGATAACCACTTAGAAGGGCTTTCTTGCATGTTTTTTTCTTTAAAGCTCTCCTTTACTGTGCTAGTGAACTCCTAGTACATTTCTTTTCTTTTCTTTTTTACTTCTAGGAAATGAAGTTGGGGAGTTAGCAGAATACAACCCCAATCTCCTGGATGATCCTCAGTGGCCCTGTGGGAAGCACAAACGTGTCCTCATCTTTGCATCATACATGGTACGAAGCTGGTGTAGAGCAAATTAATTCGCAAATAAGGCATTGTAGCCGTAGTGTAGTTCAGATCCTGGGTTCTGACTTCGTACAACCCAGTGCAAATAAAAATGTCTCCTTTTCCAAATTTTGCATGTTTCATTTAAATTTGGAATTATAGCCACCCATCAATAAACATTCCTCGGGCAGCTTCCACACAAGATTAAAAATACAATATATCCTGTTTTCTGTGTGGGGGTGTAATGCAAGTTATAAATACAAGTGAGAGGTGGTGTTTATTTCATTCTTCTGGAAGCGCAATGTAGCTTTCGGTACTTAGCTGTCTACACGAGCTGTTGTGGGAGGTGGTGTCAGCATTCTTGTCTCAACGCAAGGCTGAGCGGGTGATTGATTTCTTTTTAATCATTTTTTTAAAATATAATTTATTTGCTGAATCACCTTGGCGTGAATTTACCAAGTGGCTTTGGCAAGCCACCACTCTTCAGAGTTTCCTCTTCAACCCAATCTCCAGTATAGGAATAATAGTGATCTGCCATAACAAGATTGTTGCAAGGATTGCTGAGAATGTGTACGAAGTGTTTTAAACCCATTAAAAGTGAACACAAATGCTAAGTATTTCCAGTTCCTAGAGGTACACACTGGGGGATCCTTAATCATGTGTAGCTCGTGACCTTTCCAGGGGTATTTGACAGGTCACCATTGGAGAACAGGTGGTAGGCTAGACAGAGCCCTTGTCTAATCCAGCGAGTAAATCCTAATGAACTCAAAAGTCCCACATTTCATCTAGCCAGTTATACGGGCTCAAAGTGAACTGTTGCTTCACTGCATCAAAAGGTCAAGGCATGGGAGGGAGGGATTTGCCACCTTCCCTCACTCTCCAGTCAACCTCTAACATTACCTTCTAGGCTCCTTGGGACTTTGCTAATAGTCCCTAGGGCATTCTGCCGTAGAGAAAACCTGTTCAAGTTCCCAGTCCTGCACCACTCTTGAAGTGCCAAGTATTACAGGATTAAGAGATTACCCAAGAGCTTTGAAAACCTTCTGTCCTCAGAGGGATTAAACTTTTCTCATCAAGGATTCTGCAATGATGGCCTAGATACAGGAGTACTTGGCTGTAATCCTGTACAAGGGCAAATGATGGTTAATAGCAGGAACTTCCCATTGCAGGATACCATCTCAAGCCATCGTGCTCTGAAGATGTGGTATGGCTGAAGCTAAGCTTTCAACTCTGCTGAGATCATTTGCAGTCCAGCCTAATAATGTGTGGAAGACAAGCCTTGCTCTATGGTTGACAAGACAGAGGCTAATAGCCAAAACCCAGGCTTATGGGCTCTTGGTCACAGAAGAAGGCTGTGCATCTTGTTAAAAAAGATGTTCAGTGCTGTGAGTTGTGAGAGAGTTAGCTGGGATAGGAGACCCTGAATTCAGCCTTCTAAGCACCACCTAGTTTGCCCCTTACTGTAGATTAGTTTCTCATGGAGACACTTTGAATCCTTAATCCTTATTCTCATTCTCTTTCGGTAAAGGCGGCGTAAGGATCTGTAAACCCTTTTCCTTTATTTTATTTTAGACCACAGTAATAGAATACGTGAAACCATCGGACCTTAAGAAGGATATGAACGAGACCTTTAAAGAGAAGTTTCCTCACATCAAGCTGACGCTAAGTAAAATCAGAAGGTAAATTAAAACAGGGATGGTAAAGATGATAGGAGGGTGCATTACTGTGTTTCTAAACCACTTTGAAACATGGTTCTTTCCTCCCAAACAGTAATTAATATATATGATTAAAATACTTTCAGACCACTCTTATGTAGGTTTACTCAGGTGTATCCCAATATGTGTGCCACAATGACCTCGTATAAACTTGGCTTGACATCTTGCACCATAACTTGTCAAGATCCTATTAGAAAGCAGTGTATGTTGCTGGGGTGTGATATAATGGTTCTGTAGGTGATAGGAACTCCTTGATCATTGAAATCAGGGGTGTAAGACCTCAGGCCTAGGCCTCTCTGTCTGGCCCTTGAGAGTCTCCCCGAGGCCACACAATTTACCTGCTCTGCTTCACAGCCTCAAGTTATTTTGCCTGGCTGGAAGATACCCTTTCACTCTGATAATGCCTCTTGCTTGCCTGGATGGCAGGCAGAAAGGCATATGTGAGCATGTGGATAAACTAACCAAAGCTAACATTTACATCCATTGCCTCGTTCACTTTTGTCCACTGGCATCCGGCCCTTGAAAGGTTTCCGAGAAAGGAGTATGTCCCCCTCAAGCTGAAGAAGTTTGTGACCCCTGAGCTAGGAAGGAGGGGTTTCTTGACTTTGTGTCTCCCTTCCTCTTCCCATTTGGGTTAACACTCCTTTGGGCACCTGAAGATCGCTACTTGGTCACACCACATCCCCCATCTTTCCGCTGATAAAGAGCCGTGCATGTTCTTTCCTCAACCCCGAAGCCTTCAAACATCAGCCAAGAACAAACACTGCAGTCTTAAGCAACTTCTCACTGTGGCAGCTATGTACCCATATCCTCGCTCAACGCCTACCTGCAACATTAGAATGAGTTCGGCTTTCTCCAGATGCAAATAAAGTCAGAGAGGACACTCCAATTAATGCAGCCATGTGTTTGCAATTCATATGTTACTGGGGCCTAATGCATATCATGTTGCTTGATCCACATCACAATGCATGTGTGCAACAATGAGCCCTCTTCCTCCTCCTTCTCCTAAGCATACAAACATCAGCTACCTTCTGCAGTAGCTGAAGGTGAAGCAGACAAGAAGCAGAAATGAGAATTCAAGAATTAAGAGTCTTGTTTCCTAAGTTGTGGTAACCTTTTTTATATACGAAGCAAAATTAGCTTTCTTTCCCTCTTTCTGTGCCCACAGTTTAAAGCGGGAGATGCGGAACCTGAGTATGGAATGCAACCTGGAGCCAGTAACTGTGTCCATGGCTTACGTTTACTTCGAAAAGCTTGTCCTGCAAGGCAAGCTCAACAAACAGAACCGAAAACTGTGTGCTGGTGCTTGTGTGCTGCTTGCAGCCAAGATTAGTAGTGATCTCAGGAAACACGAGGTCAAACACCTTATAGATGTAAGTATAGCCAGAATAACATCCCAAGAGTGTCCGGACCCCTGGAAATGCTGGTTCTTGCAAGTCACATTGTTTTCTAAAACTATGCATATAATTTTCGAATGAAAACATGTAATGGTTTTTAGCACTGAGACCAGAAGTAGGCTTGTACCCTTTTGACAGGAGAGATGTTTCAGGGTGATTGGCAGGAGTGAGGGATGGAGATAGAAACTTGCACCTTGAAATGTCAACTCTGCAGGAGAAAGGGAAGAGTCATAGATTACTCTTGTCAAGGGAGAGATGAAGAGTTGCAACCCTGTTCATTTTGCTTGATCTCTTGGCAGCTTTTTAATACCGTTGACCACGGCTTAGGGACTCAGGGTTGGGGACACTGTACTTCAGTGGTTCTGCTCCTACCTCCAAGGCCATTTCCATAATGCAGTTATTAGAGGACCCTTGTTTGATGCTATGGGAGTGGTCCTGTGGCATCCCAAAGCGTTCTATCTTGTCCCCTGTGCACATAACTGAAACCATTGGGAGCTTTTATCAGGGGATTTGGAGCGAGGTGTCATGTGACTGATACGCAGCTCAATCTCTCAGTTGTGTCTGAATCAGGAGAGGCAATTGAAGTGACCAGTCCTCAGAGGTAGTGATGGGTTACATGTACAAGTTGAAGGTGAATCCTGAATAGACAGAGGTGTGATGTGTCCCGTGTTTTCAAGTCTGGGAGACAGGTTGTTCTAGATGGGGTTGTGCTCACCTGGAAGGAGCAGGACCATAACTTGGGAGATCCAGTGCTGTCACTGGAGTCTTAGATAGCCTCAGTGGCTAGGAGTGCCTTTTTCCAGCTATGGCTGGTTCACCACTGGAAGCTCTTTTGGACTTAGATGGCATGGCCACTGTACCCCATGGTCTTGTAACTTCCAGGGTGGATTGTTGCAACATGCTCTATGTGGAGCTGCCCAACATGGAAACTTCAACTGGACCAGAATGCAGCAAGCAAGTTACTGGCCAAGTTTTCATATAGAACTCACATAACCCCTGTTCTAAAACAGCGGCAGAGATTGCAAGTTTGTTTTCAGACCCAGTTCAAGTTGCTTACATTCTTGTTTAAAGTCCTAAATGACTTTGGTTGCAAGTATCCGAAAGACAACCTCCTTACTAGACTCTTTCAGGTGTTAAACTGAATTTTAATGTTGTATCTTTAAATTGTCATAATCTGCTACAGGATTTGCCCTTGGGGCAGGTAAGCTATCTAATATAATAATAGTGCCACAACAGCTTTTATTTCTCCTTTACTTCTAGCCTTAGCCGCCACTAGCGCATGGCCCCCGAAAGGTTGCACACAAAAGAATGCGGCCCTCAGGTTCAAAAAGATTGGTGATGGCCAAAATGCCATTTAAACATCTGCAAAACATACTAAATACTGGTGTAATCTGTAGCAACCAGCTCATGTTCTGTTTTACTGGTTTTCTGTCCTTACAGAAGTTAGAAGAAAGATTCAGATTCAACAGAAGAGATCTCATTGGATTTGAATTTACCGTACTTGTGGCTTTGGAACTAGCCCTCTACCTTCCTGACAACCAAGTGTTACCTCACTTCCGACGTCTTACACAGCAATCCTAGCCAAAGCTGCATTCTAGCAGAAGTGCCAGTACTTAGACGCTGATTTTTGGGTGTTGGCCTCTGGTCCTTTCCCGTGCCACAATATTGAACAATATTGTGTATATACCCGACATGAAGACAGCAGTGGGATTTTTGTGGAGCTACCAAGATGGTGCAGACACCACAGATTCCATGTGTGAGAAGTGGCAGAAGTGAGACATTGAACTTTGGACACTAAAGCACAAATTATTTGCCGCCATTTGCCACAAATGCTGCTGGTCATAACCTAATTTACCTTCCCACCCCCCACCCGTTTTTCCCCCTTGGATATAATCTGTTCTTCCCTTCAAAGACTGCTACTTTTTCATTTCCTTAAACTTTTATCATTCTCTCCCCACACCCCTTCCTTGAATCTAAAAGAGCATCATTTCCATTCCAAAACGTCATATGCTTCCAATAGCATTTCTGAGAATTCTTGCATTTTAAAACCATGGAAACTTGTCTTCTTTTGCGGGGAGGGGAGGTGGGTGCGGGGCAGAAAGAAAGACGTGCCTAAGACTTAGCTGGGCTGGTACCAGTCAGTCTCTCTCTTGCTCTCTTTTTGTTGCTTAGTGGCAAATTCTGAACTTAAACAGCAATTTATCCTTTTGCCTTTGTTCACCTTGTGCTATAAGGAAAAGAATTCCATTGTATCTCTACTATCATTTCCAGAAGAGATGTATATTTGAAAACAATATTCTACTTGGTTCATGATTTTAAAAACTTTTCTTTTTTATTGAAACATTTCCCAAACATTGCACTTGTTGATCAAGGCAGCTATAGCAAAACAATTTCCATTTTATCTTGTCCTTCAGAGTGTGACTGAAGGCCCTTTGATTTTTATGGTGGTAATTTGGCCTTGTAGCTCCCAAAGGTGGCATCTTTTTGTCACAGCTTTGCTGTAGGCTAGAATGATGAACTGTTTTATTTATAAACAATGTATTCCATGTATTGTCTTTCCTGTGTGCTCTTGACGAGTGTATGTGTCTCAGCTTGTGCAGCTGTCATTTTCTAAATTAAGCCGGTGAGACTAAAAAGGCATGTCTGACTTCGATAATCTTTTGTAAAAAAACAACAACAGAAAAATTGGTTCTTCCAAGCTTTTTGCCACTGTGATGGTTCTCATGAACCTGACTTTTCATTGCACATTCAGACAGCCAAACTCATTGAGGTTAATATCCAACACAGGGGCGTTGATAAAAATGATACAACTTCTACCACTGTTAGCCAGGTGTTTTTGGCTTAACCATCTAGATGTTGAGGATGAACAACATTAACTTCTTGTGCTGTAACAGAAAAGTTGATGGCTGTTGAATTTCTTTTCTAAGCAATATTGTGATACAAGTCAATGTGTGTGTGTTTGTGTGTGTGAGAGAGAGAGAGATACTTGCCAGGGAACAAAATTAATATTCTTGGGTGTTGTGATTTGATATGTTCATAGATTTATTTATTTTTAACTGTGACTTTGGCCAGTTCTATACATCATGCAGAATGAAATAGTAGACAAAGGTGGCAGAATTGTGGACTGTACCAGTGCAGACACAGAATCATGTTTTCAAGCACACAGTACATACACCCCAATGTGTAGTAAATCAGCACACTGGTGAAAAGCCATGTACAGTATAAAGCGTTCTTCCTGATGTGCTCTTTTATTAAATACAGGGAGTTTCTCACACAAGAGATCATTCAAAGATTAATAGCTACCACCACAGCTGCAGTCTGAAGTGGTATAGTCCACAATTTTTAATATCTCTGCCTGTAGATTGTCTCTCAAAAATGGTTAAGTCAAGAGGGCTATATGACTTCCAGTACCCAGAATGCCATAAATTCTAACTTGGGTATATGTATTGAGTAGCCACGAAATAAACCAGAAAAGGGGAGAGAGAATAGCAAAGTTTGGTGCTAGAAACATTTGAAAAAGGGTGTGCAGTGTTCAATGCCAAACTCCAGATAAGATTATTGTACATGAAGAGACCTTCCTTGGCTTTTTGGTTCCTGTTTCTAGCACCTATGCATGAATATAAAACCATTTTATATTTTAGATAAGGCCAGCTTGACGTCACTGAAATTGCAGCAATCCTAGTTAAGAATGCTTCTCTGACCAAGGCTTGTGTGTTAATACATCTAGCTATAATAACACCAGTCATAGTATAGCATCTTTTTGTATAATGTAGTACAAGGAGCTATATAGCTTACTAACTAGTGCTGTTCAAAATGTGAGCTGTAGTATGCTTATTTCCCAGTAAACTTTGCCAATGCAGGACATCCTAACTGTTCCCAAGATAAAGTTTAGAAATGGCTTCACAGAGTGTTAAAACATTTAATCCTCTGCCTGAAACTGAAAGAATTTGCTTTTTTTAAAACCTATCAGTCTTGTATCATGAACACAATTGACTTGTATTAACACACTGTGTTTGAGTTGAAATAGTTGCCAACTTATTCCACCCCCCAGCTGAAGCAATCATTACCTTGTCCAACCAAAAATAGGGGTGATGAGGTGAGAAATAGATTGATTCTTTTGGGATATATTTGAGCTTCTGGAGGCTGTAAATTTCCAATATGACGTATGTGAATTTTGGATAATGTATTATCATATATTTAATTTGCACAGAATATTATTCAGGCTGTGGGGCAGAAAGATAAATTATTTTACATGTTTTAAGGCTTGATCTTCACTCAGAGCACGTTCATTGTTCTGAATACCCAAGGGAAAGTGCATGGGTGCATCAGTTCTGTTAGTGAACTGGATTTATAATTCTTCCAAGTAGTGAGTTCTAGGATGAAGACTGTAGCCTCCAATTAAGATCTGGACTCCTTTTTCCTCTCTTCTCTGCACAAATGTACCTACAGATAACAGCTGGCCCATGTGTTAAACAAAGGATTACCAGCGCCCTTTTATCATATGTAGGGTATGTGTTTGTATTAAGCCTTCAAAGATGTCCATGATCCAGCATCATATACAGAACTCAAGAGAAATGTTGTTTCAAGGGACCTAAAGATGAAGAACTGAGTATCAAATTGTCCATTTTGAACTTTGCAAATTGACTTGTATGTTGAGAATCTTATTGCTGTGACTTAACCTGTATAGAAACAGTTTGGCTCTTGAATCCTGTTGTGTATGTGAATTGAGGGGTGGGGTGGAAGGGTGCTGTTCACATTTTCTTACCTTATCTTTTTGATTCATATTCTCAATCAGCTATGCCTCTTTGTGTTCCTTTTTCATGCAAAAGCTGCCACTGTGTGGTAAAAAAATATTATTACAACCAAACATAGATCCACTGTAAAATCCCAGGCTTTCGTTGGAGAGAGATACTAGTCTCTTTAACAGTTGAGGTTTAAATTATGTAATCTTATGTAAATAATGGTGCTTGTCTACCTTCAGCCCAAGAAAACACTCTGGACTGAAGTTTGTATATTTATGTAAATAATATTTTTGTGCTGTCGTAAATTTTAAGTTCCTGCTTTGTATATTGTCTCATTATGTTCTTCCAAGGAAATGAATGGATTTGTTAATAAGATGCTGTGTAATTGAATGTTTTGATACCCATTTTATAACCAAGCACACCTGAAGATACTTCAGGTTAGTGTCATAAATATTCCTTTAAAAAACAGTTTACATGTCCTTTTCTTCTTTTCCCCTCCACCTATGCAAAATAAGTTAGTAAGTAAGTAAGGACTACTATGGTGGAAATGACTAGATTTTGGAACATATACCAGAGATACAAAGATTTGTTACATTGGGGTGGGTTACCTAGAATTCTAAATAACCAGCTGCGTGCAGTTTTCTTATACATTCCTGTTTTTTACAGAGATGAACAGATTTCAATTGACACAATTTGTGGCAAAACTTTGAAGAATGTAAACAAAATAAGGCTATAGCAGACATTCACATTTTTTTCTGCTATATTTGTGCTTTTTAGTGAAACTTTGAATTATACTCTACCTTGAAGATACAAGCTTGCAGATTTGTAGTTTTGTTAAGCACATGCCATAAACTTGTAAAGTAAGAATTTTATGTTTAAAAATCCACCAGTATAAAATATACTTTGCATTATTCTAGATTTAGTAGTGTTGGAAGCTGGCACACTTATCTTTAGCACAAGGTTTCCCAACTTGGTGCCCTCCAGATGTTTTGGACTAAAACTCCTATCATCCCTGGCTATTGGTCATTCTGCTGGAATTGCAGTCCACATCTGAGCTAGCCCTGCGTTAGCATATCTAGTCTACAGTACCAGAGTACAGTATTTCTAATTTTTGCAGTGTTCTACTGATTTCCTGAGGCCAAAATGCCACTAAAGCCTGCTGTTCCTACTTCGTTTGAATTTTTTGGCAGTTTTTTTTACGGATTTTTTTACAGATGTAAAAGTAAACTACATAATAATTACTTTGCAGTAAATATTTGAAACAAAGTTCAGTTCTGATGGGCTTGAAGAAAACTTCATGTACATAAGCATGATAAATTAGTTACACATTTCATTCCTCAGCTGATGAGAAGTTGACTCTTCTCAGCAGCTGTATAAATAGAAAAAAAATCCACAAATAGCTCATTACGACTGCTCCAGTTATAAGTACAAACAGGGCATCTGTTTCAGTGCCTGCCTTTTTATGCCAGTTGATCAGCGATATATTTAGATAAGTGACCAGAGTTGAGTTGCCCATTCAAAATGTTACAGAAGCAAGCAGCTTGAGAAGGCTTGGGAGCACAATAATTGCAACCCTTATTATATGTGCCTGCCTTTGCAGATAATTTTTTTTTATTTTTTTTAGGATCTGCCTGTAGTAATGGGGGGGGGGTGCTATTGCTTTTTCTGGACTAGCTAGAGCTCTGCTTTCGTAATGTTGGGGTCCAGATAGAAAAAAATTCTCTGGATCTGGGGTCTTGCCATGTAGCATTGCATCCATTATTTTTATTCAATTAACAAAAAACCTTTGGTTTAACATCCAGCAATGTAGCATCGAGCTCATGCACTGTGGCAAATTTAAAACGACAGCTTGTAGTCACTAAGTATGGAGTTGCAGGACCAGTGTCAGCCGTAGCAGGACATGCTTGGCGGGTGGGTTCCTAGGCCCAGTAACTGTCCCAAGAATGCTGCATCCCGAATTTTTCATAGAAGAGGTTATCAAAATGGACTTGATAAATTTTCTTTCAGAACTTTCCTCTAGCACCCTACAGTACAGTGTGCATCGCAGCTAGGTGCGTGGAGCATTGGAGCATATCATACTAATTAAAAGCATGTATATGCATTTCACAACTGTCTACAAATGCAAATAAAATGCAAAGCACACGTGCTACAGAGCTGGCTAGTCGACAGCTAGGGTTGCCATATTCACTTAAGGACTCAATTTTAAAACTGTGTTGATGGAAGGCAATCTTACTCGGCTATGAGTGATCGCCAAAGAATATGATTCCCAAAATCCGGACAAGGTTGTTGAGTTGCTTTGTCACCAACCCCCGAAGTTGTTGAGCTTATTTTGGGAACATCTGTTGAAATGTACAGTTTTTTGGGCTTTGGAATTTTTAAGGCATTTACATACTTGCCATACATCCAGGTTTTCTCAGACATTTTACCTATTACCCCAAAATTGCCTGTAAATGCCATTTTGCAGCCCGATTACCAGACATAAACCCAGACGTATACCACACTCTGCTCTACTATATCCGATAGCAAACAGGCAACTGCAAACATGAGTGTACCCAGTGCTATTCTTCTAGAAAAAGAGGTGCCAGAATTCACCATGAACGCCTCCCTTTTTCTATTATAATGGCAATGGCGCCCACCTGGGAAGTGCTGGAACGGAGTTCCTGTGAGCTAACGAAAAAGGCCCCAAGTGTACCATCACCCGAGCAGAATAATAATTTTCAGTGGGTATTTTCCTTCCTTCGCCAGGGGCAGACTTTGGTCTTTCAAATTTCAGTGGCGCCCTCCGCAAGGCCAAAATTCGGGTATCCTTCGCCCACAAGGCTTGTGGCGGAAAGGGTTCTTGCACGCCTTAAACCCACCTCCTCTGCCCTCACACACCAACATGGAACTCTGCGCACTGCAATTTACTCCTCTTGCTCTTGCCAGCGACATTTAAACCAACTTGATGGGAGCGGACATGTGCTCCAAATGCGCTTTAAAGCTCTAGCTGCAGTTTGTGCGCACAATCCATTATTTTCCTTGTCGTGATATATGAGGTAATGTGGAAAACACAAGTGAACCGTCCTCTTTTGCTTGTATCTTTTCCCTGCCTATTGAGATCAAGCAGAAGCCTTTTGCCCGGCCTGCTGAAAACATTTTTGTTCAGACAAGCCTACCCAGATACTTAGGAAGTGATTTTAATCAGCTTTCAGTATTTTAACTTGTGTAGGTTTTGAAAGCACGGTTCTGAATCTTTCTTGATTTTATCATCTTCCTGTAAACCGCTTTGGGTTTTCTTCTCAGTCAAAAGGCGCATTAAATGTTACGAAACAATAATAATATCATTTGCTCCCTTCATTCTCCTCAGCGAGGAACCTCTCCAAATTCCCGCCTTTTTGCGCACAGCCCCGAAACGCCCCCCCAGAACTCACCCTCTTTAGCCACGCCCAATCCATAACGGCCTCTTCTGCCCCGCCCACTCGAAAGCCGACACTCTTCACGGCGCCGCCCTCCTTAGAAACCTTGTGTGCGCGTGACGTGGCCGCGCACGCCTCGTGGTCCCTTGCGCCTGCGCGCTGCCGCCGTTGAGGGCTTTGTAGTCGCCTCTGAGTGACGTTAGGTCTCTCTTTCCGGCCTGGGCTCGCGGCGTGTGAGGAGGTGAGGCGAGGCCTGCTCCGTGTTCCCGGGCGGGCGGACGGGCCGTGATTTCTCCCTCGCTGAGGTGGCCGGTTGAAAGCGGGGGGGGCAGGGGGTGAGGCGCGTACTCGGTTGAGCTGATTCCTCCGCCCGCCCCCAGCTTCCCCTCTTCCCGGGGGTCACCTGCTTCCTCTGCCCTGAGGTGGGAGGCCCAGGGGGTGAGGGGACATGAAGGAGACCCTTTTCATATACAGTGGTACCTCGGGTTACATACGCTTCAGGTTACAGACTTGGCTAACCCAGAAATATTACCTCGGGTTAAGAACTTTGCTTCAGGATGAGAACAGAAATCGTGCTCCGGCGATTGCCAAAAAGCAGAATTTCATAGTGAATTTGCTCGGTAGACATATCCAAGGAATTTTGAAAAAATAGAAATTAGAGTTTATTGTGGGGCTTTTGTGTGTACCTTACCTGTGTTGCAAGAAGTGAATCCAGGTAGCAGAGCATCTGCTTTGCATGCAGATATCCCAGATTCTATCTCCAGCATATCTGAGTAGAGCTGGGAAAGAACCCTGTCTAAAATCCTGGAAAGCTGCTGCCAGCCAGTGTAGGTAGAGCTGAGTTACATGGACTGCGTAAGGCAGCTCCGTATCCGGAAAGTTAAGTGTGAATTGAGAATTGCAGCCTGAAATGGAGCATTTTTTTAAAGGTAAAACCTGTTGTGTTCAGTTTGCAAACACCCTTGTTTCGGAGTCCGTACAAGGCAATTTCCTTTTTTTTTATATATATATAAGATATTTATTAAGGTTTTCAAAATATTACAAAGTAAAAATAGAAAAATACAAAATAAAAATAGTTAAAAACAACTCAATCTTTCCATTACATATTTTTCATTAGCTTGTTTCCCGGACCTCCTCACCCCTCCCTTTTTTGTATTCCAATTCAGTTTGTTGGTTCAGCAAATCCTTCCCCTCTTTGTTTATCCTAATCTTTAATCTTAAAGTATTGTAACATTAAATTTTTACCTGTTAATAATCCATTTTTCATATTCCCTTATAGTATTTCAGCTAAAAACCACTTAATTTCTATCCAACATCATTCTAACATTCATTAATTTTACAATATTTCTGTAAATAATCTTTAAATTTATTCCAATCTTCTTCCACCGACTCTCGGATTCTGCCAGTCGTTTCCGCCAGTTCCATGTAGTCAGTCACCTTCATCTGCCATTCTTCCAGAATGGGTAGATCTTGTGTCTTCCAATACTTTGCAATGAGTATTCTTGCTGTTGTTGTGGCATACATAAAAAAAGTTCTATCCTTCTTTGGCACCAGTTGGCCGACTATGCCCAGGAGAAAGGCCTCTGGTTTCTTCAAGAAGGTATATTTAAATACTTTTTTTCAATTCATTGTAGATCATCTCCCAGAAAGCCTTAATCCTTGGGCATGTCCACCAAAGGTGGAAGAATGTACCTTCAGTTTTTTTACATTTCCAACATTTGTTATCGGGCAAATGGTAGATTTTTGCAAGCTTGACTGGAGTCATGTACCACCTGTATACCATTTTCATAATATTCTTCTTAAGGCATTACATGCCATAAACTTCATACCTGTGGTCCATAACTGTTCCCAGTCAGCCATCATTATGTTATGTCCAACATCTTGTGCCCATTTAATCATAGCAGATTTCACCATTTCATCCTGAGTATTCCATTTCAACAGCAAGTTATACATCTTTGATAAAGTCTTAGTTTTGGGTTCTAACAGTTCTGTTTCTAATTTTGATTTTTCCACCTGGAAGCCAATTTTCTTGTCCGAATTATATGCCTCCATTATCTGATAATAATGAAGCCAATCTCGCACTTTGTTTTTTAGTTTCTCAAAACTCTGCAATTTCAATCTGTCTTGTACAAGGCAATTTCCTGTACTCTTAATATCTGGCAGGTAGAAATTGTTGCTTTGAGGAGGGGCTGTTCATGTACTTACTTTCCGTTTATTGGAAGTGCAGTAAATGCACAAATGTGTTTGTTTTCCATCTGTTAATCGTTGAACGATATCTTCCACTTAAGTGGGAGATGGAATTGGCTCCTCTCTCCACCCCTCCTCAAGTTCAGTAGAGGTGAGATGACAGTGGGATTTAGGTGAGAGAATGTATTTAGATAAGTCTAGGCTGCCATACAGTGTGGAGTGGGTGTGTAATTCTGAATCTTACATTTCTTATTCATGGATTATTCATTTACATGTTATGAATGTCTCTTCTGAGTTTTACTAAGAGTAGACACAACTGGCTGTAAAGATAGCATGTCGCGGTTAAGATAATCTCATCTCTGAAAATTTGAAGGCAATCTACTCTGACTTAGTTGAGTACCACCTCCCTGATACATTAAATAATTTTGCATTGTTTTCAAGTAAACAGACCCTACTTTGCATTGAAGAGGCTTGCTGCTGCTAAAATGGAAAACACCCATTGATCATTATAGCATTAGAAATATCATACAACAGCAGTTAATTTGAACATAAAAAAGATTGTCCAGTATCTGAAGAAGTGTGCATGCACACAAAAGCTTATACCCAGAACGAACTTAGCTGGTCTCTAAGGTGCTACTGGACAATTTTTTTAAAAAAATTATTTATTTTGACTGCATTAGACCAACAGGGCTACCACCTGAAAATAAAAAATATTGTTATAATTTAATAATCTAGGGAAGTGCTCCTGCATACAACTGAGAGTTTAAATAAAAATAAACACTTCAAAAGAAATATTCCTGCTTCATTAAATTAATACACACAATGTAGTTTTAAATACGTGCATAACTGAGATGGGAAGATGCTGGAAGATAAGGACTCTGATAGGTTACAGTCTTCTGGGGGTGAGGCTATTTCTGTAATTTTCAGTCACTTAAGCATCTGCTAAGTACTGATCTTTTAACATATCTTGTCAGAAATTTCCTGTTGCACGTCACTTGTGGCAAAACCCTAGAAAAACACAATGCAGAACGACGCTGGAGAATTTGTGGATCTCTACGTTCCTCGTAAATGGTGTGTATTAATTTATCCATGGAAATTACCAGTCTGCCTTGGGCAACTTGAAGAAAATCATGGCACATTTGGGCATGGGGTTAAATCATGGCTTTAGCCATACAATAACGCTCCTTGGGCTCAAGTGCTCCCAACCTGACTTCCTGGCATGACTGGAGGAAGAGCACAGGAGCTTCCGCAGTTCAGTGTGTCATCCAACCTGAGACAAGCTGGTTAATATTAAGTACAGATACCTGAAGCAAGCTAGCTTGATAAACTATAACTTGAAGTTGGCTTTGTTTCAACTGCCCATAGTTAAGATTGAGCACAGTATGTCCAGGTTTGGTGACATAGCAAGCTGCAGTTTATCTTAAACAGAAACAAAAGCTTCCAAACTTCTACTTGTGTTCATGCAGATTGAGGGAGTGTGTGAGCCCAAGGCTCGCTGGGGTTCATTCTTAGAATACCAAACTATGGTTTACTGATGTGTCAGTTGCTATGTTAGCATGGAGTTGTGGGTTTTGGGGGGAGGGTGTGGGGGTTACACCTTTAGGTGCCAGGAAAAAAACATTCGTCTTCAACCAAGCCTTTGGCTGATTAACATCTGATAAACCTTTTAAATGTGTTGTCAGAGGGGGGTTCTTGGTTTGTTCTTGTTTTTTATATTGTATTTTTACGTTGTGAACCACCCTGCGATCTACAGATGAAGGGTGGTATGCAAATTTAATAAACAAGAATAATAAGATTGAGCTATTTGGCTGCTACAGCAGAAAAAAAGATGATTGCATAGATAGGTGCATGCACCTGCCAGCTCAACTGTAGTAAAGGTAAGGTGGTTACAAGCAGGATTTAAGATACAGAAAGGCTAAGTTGAGGATTCCAGAAAGAGATATGTCCAGGGCTTTAGTTCCATGTATTTCAAGAGTGCAGGGGGTGTCCCAGGCATGCCAAGAGTGGGTGCAGCTGCTGTAAGACTATGGTGGTTGTCTTCAGTGCAAGATTTTCTAGCCGTGAACTTTTATATATTTTCATGGGGCTTCTTATCTTCCCTTCAGCTCTGCTAGCAACCGGATAATTGGTGCTAAAGACCATGCCTCCATCCAGATGAATATTTCTGAGGTGAGTAAAATATAATTAATTAGAATATACAAGTTGAAAGACGTTAATGAATGTGTTTTCTTTTTGGTACTGAATTTCATTTTAATGAGGCTTGTAACCTGCCACTTGCCTGGGTTGCTGACTTTATGTAAAAAATGAATTCCTAGCTCCAATGGGCTTATTATGGCTACAGTAGGAAGAAGCCTTAAGTGTAAAAAGTTGGTTAAGCATTGATCTAACACAAGGCCACATGGAGTTGACTGCAGTCACAAAGAGAACCAGTGTTGGTTACAACATGGTGTCCCTGCATAATGTGCAGTTTTCTTTCACTCCTTTCTGCCTTTTGTGATCTGGCCCTGAGTATTAAAAGTTACAGCAGCGTAGCAATAATCACTGTTGCTTCTCTCAGGCTCCTGGGTCCAGAGGGCATGGGACTGTAGAATTACTTCCTTTGCTAGACTTCCTGCTGCAGGTGAAAATAAATTACAGGGTCTGCTTCCTGTAGCAAGCAGTATTGAGAGAACAGCATTCATGGTCCAAAGGAAGCACATTGGGGGGGGGGGGGCTTATTTATTTAAACATAAACCTCAAAGCAGTTTATAAAAATATAAGACAATTAAAGCAAGGGGTAGGTCACATTCCTTCCCTGCCATTCTTTTGCTTTGAACTCTGGGTGCTGTTGGTCTAATACTGCTTGCTGCATGACTTTTTGTTTTTATTCATAAAAGTTAGTATCATCTGTTCCATTGCTTCCCTTTGTGTTTTAAACAAATTTCTATTAATTTTTGGATGTATTGTGGATTAATAGAAATGAAAAATTAATCCTTTTGTGTACATGGGACATGGCTGACATTTGTCCCAGATTTCAGTAATCCAGTAAATCTGGGCAAACACATTTTTCATACATATTTAAACTATTAATTTGCTTTCTGTAAATTCCCTGGTTAGATTTGTAAGGGGTTCACTGCCGATAATTGGTATCTTCTATGCATTGTGTTTTCCAGTATAACTGCACAACAGTTAACATGTTGAAATGCAGTCTTGATTCCCATTTCAGGTTGATAAAGTCACAGGCAGAGTCAATGGCCAATTCAAAACTTATGCAATTTGTGGAGCAATTCGCAGAATGGTAAGTATGCACTTAAAATGGTTTCTCTTCCCCAGTAGTATAACTTCTGTTGTCTTTCCACCTCAGTGTTTGGCTGTTGTGGGGGGTGGTCTCACTACATGTTGGGTCTTCTTTTATAAAAACTGCAGCTCGCAATTTAATTTGACATATTTTACTGGTACCTTATGAGTAGCAGCTCATTTAAGGTTAAGAGACTAGATCTTGGAGTTAATTCTGTTTTAAATAAGGAAATTGTTATCCTCTGGGTTGTGAGAGTAATGTAAAGGGGCTCTTTACACTAGTAACATTTAAACATCCTTTCTCCAGGACTTTCAGTTGCTGGACTGCAGTGCTAGGCACATTTACTTAGAAGTAACACACATGGAAATCAATAAATATATTTATGATTGGGCTTTTAGTCTTTCATGTTTAACTCATGAGGTGTGTATGGAAAACAGATTTGCAAGCAGTATCAAATTCTTACATGAACTTGTACTAGATTAACATAAGCAAATATGAACAGAGCTGGATACCACTGCAGGGATTACTAAGTACCATCTTCGTGGACTGTTCTGAAGCTCTTCATTTGTCTCAAAATATGGTTGATGAATTAACTCACAGTGGCATTCAAGAGTTCTCTGTTCTCTGTGTGTGCAATAATTTTTTGCAAGTTCCCTCTATCAGTAAATGAATAGGCTACCATGAATAGTTGCACCTGAAAGAAGCAATCATTCCTTCTGTATTACACACCATCATTCTGGAATGAATAGAGTGAACCTTAATTTGAAGTCATTTCAAGACAGTGGGCTACACTACTACTTAGTAATGTAATTCTGTCACAGGGAGGTAAGCAGTGTTGAAAACTGATAGTTACCATCTTAGAATAACATTTAGTGACCAAACCACATCTGGTTGGCCACTGAGAATGGGATACTGGACTAGATGGGCCATTGGCCTGGTCCTACTGGTTATTCTTACGTTCTTGTAAGAATCTGACTAAGGCACCCATTAAAAAATTGTTAAGCAGGCCAGTATTGTGAAAATAGCCTAACCACATTGTGTCCAAGTTTATTCAAAAGCAAGATCCATAGTATTAAGTTGTGCTTACTCACAGGTAAGTATTCATAAGAATCATTGCCCTCCCTTCTACTGAGGAAAAAGGAAAGCAAATCAGTTGTGTACCCTACCCTGGTCAAGTGTTGGCTTGTGCATTCCAAAAACCGATTGCAGGAGAGCATCTTAAAGCTCTGTATGTAGAGCACTTTGAACAGGCCTTTGCCACTCAGTTAAACTTATTTTCTCTGTTTCAGGGGGAATCTGATGACTCAATCCTGCGCCTTGCAAAGAACGATGGTATAATATCCAAGTAAGTTTTGTTGAATCTCATATCTCTCTCTCGGGTACTAATGCAGCTGTGCATTCTCAGTTTGCCAGCTTCTTGTGCTGTTTTGCTAAGCTTAATATGTACATTTGTAACTGTTTCTTTTCCTTTTCCAGGAATTTCTAAAGCATGATGAAGAAGCATGATGTGAAATTTGTTATAAAATAAAACTGTTGGAAAACACCTAAAGTTCAGTGTGTCATTTCAGCTCGTAACAGGTGAAACTGTTAAAAGAGGCTAATTCTGAAGATAACAGCATTGTTGATATGGATTACATAGGGCAATTTAAATGGATTCTTTTTATATTAAAAAAAATAGGCTTGTGTTTGTGATAGATTGCAATGGTAATACTTAACAGCTAAAATAGACCACAGATTCTTAGTCACCAAACTTTTGTCCCAGATTCTTAAACTTTACATCATTCTTGCCATGAGATGCAAGATGACGTTTGTCTCTCTACTTAGAACTCTAAAACACAGGGATGGAGACCCTGAATACCATCTGCAAAGCTGCAGGTTTTCTCTCCATCCCTGTTCTCACATGTTTTGCCTTCATTTATATGTGGTTTGCAGAGGGCACACCTAACTGGCTAGAAAGATGCAGAAATGGTTTTGCTACATTTATCTGTGAATTACGTTTGTCTCTAGGGTTCTCATTCTTTATATATTTTCCCATGAGAAAGAAAATTATGTGTATTTCTTGGCAGGTTTTTTCCTGAACAGCAAGAAGCCAATAGTTAAGAGAACTTCCCTTTGCTTGTTAAGATCTCAAATGTGAGGAAATGCAGTACATTGATATCCTGTGATAAATATAATTATTCTGAAGTATGTAAACTAGTTGTCATAAGGATCGTAGGAGCTTGAACTGGCTGATTTTTAAGCACTCAGTTTAGTAAGCTTAGAAGAAAGTTTTTGTGTTTAGAGTTCAGTTTGAGTTGGGTGGGTGGTTCAAGGAGCTATACGCACACCCAGGCTCACCAAATATCACTCCCCAGAATAAGAGGTGTGTGCTGCCTTCATCCCGATGCTGTCTGATGTGGGTGGTTATTTTTAGAACTCTATTTGTTCGCCTCTTTTCACTAGAGACCTGAAGTGAATTACAAAAAATTAAAAATCCAAAGCGCAGAGTACAATGGCTTGTTTCTGGAGAGATCTGATTGGAGCCGCTATTTCTTTTTCTGGTATTCCAAAGTTTGAGAACTTCCTTTATTAGAAAAGCTGACCATGTTTTTCTAAGGGGAACAATGTAAAAAGATTCCTGCATTGTGGGGGGGGTTGGACTAGAATTCAGGGGTCGGCAAGGTTTATCGGCCAGGGGCCGGATCACTCCCACAGAGATCATCCGTGGGCCGGACTGGCGCAGTGTGATGCCGGAAATCACGTCTGCACATGTCCACAGCGCCAGAAATCTCTTTGTGCATGCCCAGACGCTGAAAATTGCACCTGCGAAGAAGTGATTTTCAGTGTCTGGACCTGTGGAGAAGTGATTTTCGGTATCTACGCGTGTGCAGAAGCGATTTTCAGTATCTGCGCGTGTGCAGACGTGATTTCCGTCGCTGCTCAGCAAGTCCCCGCGTGCTGCGCTGCTTTAGCGCAGCGCACGGGGGACTTGTTGCCAACCCCTGGGCTAGATGGCCCTTGGGTTCCCTTCCACCTCTGCAATTCTGTGATTCTAAGTTTTGACCCAGTAGCTGAGCAAACACAATTCTGCAAGTCTATTCTAATAACCTATTAACTTGGCAGCAGGTAGGAAGGCTTATATTCTATCTGCCTCACAGAGCCCTAGGGGAAACCACAGCTTGAATAGATTGAGAAGACAGACACATGCTGACGCCACTTTTGTTATCTGTCACTCCCCTGATTCTGGCTAACATCCACTATGCTGCACTTTTGACCTGATGGTGCACAGCTGTTTTACCTTTTAGATTTCCAAAGGCTTATTTTTAAACTTTGAGATAGCAGCAGCCAGGTATATTAAAACATCATGGCAAACCTGAGGTGGTAGTGGCATTCCCATATAGGATGAGACTTCCATTTTAAATCCAGGTATATTCTGGAGGCTGTGCCAGTAGTTTGCTGCAGTAGGTAGGAATTTTAGGTAAATATGTATATGGCAGCAGCTTCTCAGGACAGTGCCTCACTTGAGAGGCAGAGGCACTTAGCAGAAAACACCTGGTTTAATACAGTTCATCAGTAGGAATGACGAAAAGGCACCTGAAGAAATTGTAGAAAAAAACCTCCTTTTCCCTTATGGGGTATCCAAGAGCCCATATAGAGTCCTCAAGTGGGTTCCCTATCAGTAGGAGAAAATAACAGAGGCCCACCAGAGAATATTGAGAAGCAGCTAGTAAGCCTGATCTTTATTAAACTTGCAACAGGGTCCTCACCACATGCAGGAGGGAGGAGGAACCCAGAACAATGGTGTGCAAGCCCTTATATATACTTTTGAAATTGCCCACCCTGTAGCTCAAGACTACCCCAAAAAACATCATACATACATCAAGAAGGAGGCGGTCTACAGCGGAAATCCTGTCTGCCAGGATACCTGACAGTGGCCATCAATTGCATTAGTTGGGCATCCTGGCCATTCTTTTGTGATGGTAAATACTTTAATTGCTGAATCCAGGTCACAGGCTCACCCTATTCATACACAAAGATGCCCTAAAGACAGGTAAGCAAAAGAAAATGGAGAGGCTTTCCAATTTCCTTCCTCTTTGCAGAGAAACATTTGAGGTCAATTTGGGAGAGTCAAAATGGTTTCAGGATTGCTCTCCTGTACTATTTCACACACGTGGTTTATATACTTATGTATGTGTTTGCCTTATAAACTTATGAACATTTAATTTATATATTTGAGACCTTAAATTCTTAGAACAAAGTGAAGACGGAGGATGTTGTGAAAGGCGCAAGTAGCTTTCTTAAAACTTTGCACCATTTTTAATTTTACACCATAAATAGCATCTCCTCACATGGCTGCCAAAATACAGGTGAAGACTGCATACTTTAGAAAGCTAGCCAAAAGTGTTGATATTTAAATTACTGCTTACCTCTTGGTGTTCCAATTATCCAGATTAAGAATTATGATTGGCAAGCATTTTGCATAACTCATGGGTCAATAAGCATTAGCACCTGCTATAATTGCTTAGAGAAATTATATAAAAATGAGCATTCTACTGCTGTAACTGGCAACAGGTGTTAAAACATTATACAGCTCAGGCACAAAGCTGAGCCATAGTGTGCATAGATTTGCCTAAATATTCAGTTCATTTTAGAGGATTAATACTAGTGGGATAAGGAAAGTTGAACTTAATGGCATTTCATTTGTTCAGGATTTATGTCAGACAAGCTACTGTACTTTTCCTTGTAAAAGATGCCCCCATGTATAAGACACCCCCTATTTTGGGGGACTCAAATTTAAGAAAATGGGGGAGATGGCACAGAGTTGAGCTTTTTTTGTGGAGGATAACCCAGTGTTGTTGACCTTTTTTTAGGGGGGATTGCAGAAAACCGCTCACCCACACAACATCACAAAATCCTCCTCTCGTCTGTACCCTTGCTGGCAGAAGCTGCCAATCACCCGCCCAATTGCCACAGCATCAGCCAATCAACACCACCCATCGACACAGCAACCAATAACACACACAAAAGCCATTAATACCCATGGCAGCAACAATTCAAACATCCACTCTATGCACTACCCATGTATAAGACAACCCCCATTTTTTAGCATGCTTCTTAAAATAAAAAACCTAGTCTTACACATGGAAAAGTACAGTAACTATAAAATAGGCAGAAAGGGTATATAGAAAAACATAGTTCTGCCATCCTAGAACAAGAATATATTTGAACTAATATTTTCCCTTGACCCATAACTCACACTCCATCATAACTTGTGTTAGCTGCTGAATTGGACAGTTTTTCAGAGTATTGTGTTGCAATATCTGCAGTTGACTGAGAATTCATCTGTTTGCCAAGTTTGGCGGTGGGTAGAGCAGATACGAGAGGAAGCACAGCAACTCAGGTATATATCTCAGCAGGAGCAACAGACACATCTGCTGGAGCTGTGGTTTCTAGTGCTTGTAAGCCTGTAGGGGTTGGAGACCAGGTCTGGCCTTGCACATGAGTCCTTCAGCAGATAGGCTAGGCTCATTGACTGCATCAAGATCACTCTTTGAACTTTATGGCTGTTGAATGGTGTGAGCCCAGGTCTCCCCAACCAAAATCCAGCATGCTACCCAATGTACCATTTGTTGCCACCTTCCGAATTTCCAACATCACTGGCTCAAATATCTAAATATCAAGGGGCTCGTGGAGAGGCGTTCTGGAGGAGGAGGAATAATAATAATAATAATAATAATAATAATAAATAGTTTATCTTTATACCCTGCCCATCTGGCTGGGTTTCCCCAGCCACTTTGGGCAGCTCCCAACCGAATACAATGGTACCTTGGGTTACATACGCTTCAGGTTACAGACTCCGCTAAGCCAGAAATAGTACCTCAGGTTAAGAACTTTGCAGTTTAAGAAATCGTGCAGCAGCGGGAGTCCCCATTAGCTAAAGTGGTGCTTCAGGTTAAGAACAATTTCAGGTTAAGAACGGACCTCTGGAACGAATTAAGTACGTAACCAGAGGTACCACTGTATTAAAAACACAATACAGCATTAAACATTAAAAACTTCCCTAAACAGAGCTGCCTTCAGATGTCTTTTAAAAGTAAGATAGTTGCTTATTGCCTTGACATCTGATGGGAGGGTGTTCCACAGGGCGGGTGCCACTACCGAGAAGGCCCTCTGCCTGGTACCCTGTAACCTCACTTCTTGCAGGGAGGGAACCGCCAGAAGGCCCTCGGAGCTGGACCTCCGTGTCAGGGCTGAACGATGGGGGTGGAGACGCTTCTTCAGGTATACTGGGCCGAGGCTGTTTAGGGCTTTAAACACTTTGCATTGTGCTCGGAAATGTACTATTCATGCAGTTACATTGTTTTATTATGCAGTTACGTTGTTTCCTGTATTTTACTTATGTTCAATTCACTATTTGAATTGGGGAAAGTTAAAGAAATCTATTCAACTAAGTTGTGCTCCGAGTAGACTCACTGAAATTAATGGACCAAACTTTGCCCCAGCTAAACTAATTTCACTCAAGAAATGCTTCTGTGAGGCCGAACTAGTTCTGTTAAACTTTGTTTATTATCTTTATTTCAAATAATATAAACCATTAAGTAATCCAAGTCTCAGCCCAAGATGTCCCATTGTCTGTTTCCATGTCCTTAATGTATATCCTAATCAGTGTGACATCTTACTGGATTTTAACCTAGATCTGAGGATTGGTAATAAATTCCAACCAGGATATGACTCTTTTCTTCTTTGAA